AATCAAGAAGCTCAAGGTTTGTTTTGTGCTGATCTGTTGCATAAAAGGTTGAAGAACTCTGGACATGAGCCACCGTTTTAATTCATCATCACATTTGATCAAATTTGTCCTTCCATGCTTCTGATTTTTATACATTTTTAGCATTAGGCAAGCCATAACTGTTTCATAAAAACATCTGCTGTTTTCATCCATGTGAGATAATTTCTGATAGTCTCTCTTGGTTTAGCATCACCATAAACACACTGTCACAAATAAAGGAATGTCTCCTACAATCAGGAGCTGCAGAAGGGGGTGGATGCTCACAAATCAGAGGTCCTCTCCATAAACCTGAGCAGTGCAGACTTCCTCCAATCAGAGCCGGAGTCTGACGAGGCCTGGGAGCTCAGGGACCAGCTAAAGGAGATGAACTCTCGCTGGGATCGACTCGGTTCCTCGCTGGAGGACTGGAGGGAGGAGCTGCAGAGGGCGCTGATGCAGTGCCAGGTACCAAAACACTCTGATATGAAAAATGTAACTTCTCCAAATAAATGACTATTATTAAAACTAGTTCTCCTTTTTTATTCTTCAGGAGTTTCATGAGATGAGTCACGGTCTGCTGCTGTGGTTGGAGAACATCGACCGCAGGAGGAACGAGGTGGTGCCCGTCCCTCTCGGAGCCGATCGAGAAACATTACGGAGACATCTCAAAACCCTGACAGTATGTTTCTCTTATTGCAAGCTAATAATTTGCTAAAGTAAACCCTCCATAAGCGAATCCTCCCTCTGCTTCGTCCTCTGGCAGCAAATCAAACGTGAGCTGCTAGACTCGCAGCAGAAGGTTTCTTCCCTTCAGGAGCTGTCGGCCCAGCTGCTGGTCAACACCAGACCTCAGAGCCTGCAGGCGTCAGAGCAGAGCCAGGCTCAGGGTGGCGAGTGTCTGGAGGCTCGGGAGAAGGTTCATGTGATCTGGAACAGGCTGAGACTGCTCCAGAGGGAGGTGAGCTCAGACCTGGAGGGGCTGGAGAGGAGACTGGAGGTTATGGACCCACCACAGGTCAGAGGAATGCAGACTGACTGTCTCTTTGACTTGAACGTCTCCTGTTAACAGACTGTTAGCAAAACTCTTATCCTCCATGTTCAGGATTCTTTACCAGGACCTGCTGGAAAATTTGGAATCTGCGGATCTGCTAATTCCAGGGCAGAGAAGACCATCCAAAGCCACAAACCACTGGTAATGATTTGTTTTTACTATCTTTTTCCCTTATCCAATTGCTCTGCTAACATGAACATCCAAATAACTGCTCTGCAGCCCCCCCCCCCCCTCCTCCTCACCCAGTGGCGTCTCTGGCATGATAAAAGGGACACAGCATGTCAGTAACAAGAGTAAAAAAAATCTTTTATGTCTTTGCATCAGACACAAATCACCAGAGGCATGTTGGTGGACCAGCTGTTGTACCAAAATAAGTTACTTAGTCAAATATGCTGTTGATAAAGAAAGGCCGACCTTGGACTTCACGTCTCCAGATGTTTTCCTGATGCATGCAACAAGGTTTAAATGTATCTGACACTCCAGACTGATGTAATAATGGATTTATTCTGTTAAATATTTCATTTATTCTTTATGTTGAGCAGAAATTATTTGATTGTTCTTATTTAACAAGTTAAGCAAACTCAAATAAAGGTATTTCTGAATCCTCTAAGGGATACCACGTGGTGTTAAATAACACAAATCCATTCAAATTGTGCTTTTAGAAGCTCAATTGACCAATTTAATTATATTTTGAAAAGTTATCACTTTAAAAATATAGAAATATCAGTTTGTGAGTGCAGGAAAGCATCAGAAATGTAATCAAATCAATCTTAATTAACCATCCCACTCTCCTAATGGGTGTGACCCTGCGGGGAAAGTTGACCATTGAGCAGGGTTGATGGTTTATCCCTTGAGGTCCATGTGGCAGGGGTGAGGAGTGAGCACCACCTCACCCCTGCCACATGGATCCATTTTCTCGCGGGGTCACCCATAAAGACAGTGGGAGGGTTAAATCTATCAGTATAAATTTAAAGTAGTAGGTGCAGGCCACTGCGTCATGTCCTTGTGCCTTCCAGCAGCTAACTCTGTGGCCACAGACTTAACTTCACTTAGGGGTGGAATATCCCTTTCAATCCAACATTCTGATTATTTTAATTCTAAATTGTAAGAAGTTAGTCTTCATTATAAAATCTACTGCAGTCATATTTGTTAGCTAACAAGCTAACCAACACTGCTATACCACAGAACTTAAACCTAACATCACTTTGCTGTTCCAGTTATTTAACTGGATGAACGGAGCTTGAGGTTGTGTGGTTTGTACCCCACAGACGTTCAGTATTTAAAAAACGCTCACATCTCTGATGTGTGAGAGGTAGATACACTAACATAACGGAATCTTCTGGGTAGCAGAATGGGTTTTTATACTTTGTGTTTCTGAAATGAACAATTGTTTTCCACTTATTATTTTAAGCAAGCATAGAGCTCCACAGCAACATCTGCTGGGGCCCGGCCCCCATGGTCCCAAATGCAGAGACGCCACTGCTCCCACCTCCCTTTGTATGAGAGCCCCATAAGGCTGCTAAAAATGACAAGAAAACCTGGCTTCCTGTTTTTCTGTAAAGTTAAATGAAGTTCTCCAACTTTACCTTAAATACTTGTTTTAGTGCTAATTTTCTGAGTTTTGTTTTTTCACATTTCTTTGCCTTGAGAAGCCAGATTTCTTGGTTCAGAAATCCAATCACCATCATGAATTATGTTGCTGCTCTTTGGTCACTGATGATTCTTTCTCTAGCGATGTTATGGCTTTTTTATGTTGTTTTTAAATTATTATTTCATCTAAGGCTTTGCCTTTATTTGCCCTTGACTGAAACATTCTTTTCTTTCTTTTACCCCTCCCTGCTCATTGCGTGGTTCAGCCCCGAGGCAAAAGTAGTCAGGCCTACCCAGGACACCCTGAGAGCGGCCCGCGCCACAGGTACCTCCCTCCTGGACTCTAGAAACACGGGTCGATGATGGAACCAAAGCTAACACTTTAGTCTAAACACAATCAGATGGCATGAACATCATTCAGATGATTAAATCCTTTGTAGCTTCCTAACCCGGTGTTCCATGATCGTCCCTTTTACTCTAGAGTCTGTTTGATCAGCTCTTAAATGAGTACGGACTCGTCTGAATCAGGCAGTTCCTTTTCCTTTTACTTCCTGCTTGTTTCTGCTTTGCTGCTTTCCAACTGTCCTGCTGGAATATTTGCTTCATCATCCTGTTATTCCCCATTGTAGTTCTCTCTTCACCCACCAGATGGCGCCCACTCCGGTGCAGAGTCTTGAGTTGTGCTTTTCTCTCCCATGTTTCCTTCCTGTTTCATTCTCTTCATAGTTCTGCAGCAGGATGCGGTGCTTTAGCTCCTACCGGGTTTCCTGCTACATCCACTCCCACTCTCTCCTGTTGGACTCCACACTGAACCTCCGACTCTCCCATCGTGTCTCGCATTTGTTTTTGTAAATCACATACAGACTTTCTGAAGACATGAATCCATGCAGCTACAAAAGCTCTAAACCAAACATCACATGTGTAGATCTGATCCAGCGGTCTGCAGGGATAGCAGGAGGTGTCAACACGGTGCACACGTGCCTCCTCTCAGCTGCAGGGAGGAGGACAACTAAATGAGCTGAGGGACGTGAGTGTGTTTGACCCTCCATGAGGAGGAATTGCACTAAAGAACAAAACGTTCCTCCCAGTTAAACTTGGCTCGAACTGTGGAAAGCTCCAGAGAGCTTTTTGGCATTTCTCCTTTTTTCTGTTTGGAATGATACGTGGCATTGAACTCTCACATAGTGTGCTCCAGAGCCCGTGTCCACCCACCCACACACACACACACACACCCTCCAGAGACTCAGAGCCCACTATCTTTGAATACTCATGGTCATATCTCTTTGTTGTACGTGTGTGTGTGTGTGTGTGTGTGTGTGTGTGTGTGTGTGTGTGTGTGTGTGTTTAAATGTGACGTGATTCGATTCTATCCGCTTTATTGACAGAATATTTTAGACAAGTGGTATTTGTATTGTTTGTGTAAACATTTGCGAGCTGAGGAGGTCTTCTGTGTTTGACTTTTTGTTTGGGTCTTCCTGCAGCCGGAGCAGATCTCCAGGCGCCGCTGGCTGCGTTTCCTCCCGTTCTGACCTTCCCGATGGCGTCTCCTCATCGTCCTCCTCTTCCACCTCCTCCCCAAAGAGCCGGTCCTTCCTGCTTCGGGTCTTCAGGGCCGCCCTCCCTCTCCAGTTGCTCCTCTTACTCCTCATCGGCCTGGCTTGCCTGGTTCCAATGACGGAGGAGGACTACAGCTGCCACCACGCCAACAACTTTGCCCGCTCCTTCCATCCGATGCTGCGCTACACCAACGGACCTCCGCCCATATGAGGAGCGACACTCTCCTGCTTTTTTTTTTTTTTGCCAAGAACTCCTTCGACTCCTGTGAATGTTTCCTCCTCACCTTGTGCCCTTGAGCAGGACACTCCTCTCTTGCTAGGGAGCGTAGTATGATGACTTTTCTCACCCGCTCTCCTGAAATCACCCCAGCCCTTTAACACGCAGGCCTCATTCGCTAGATCGCTCCACCTCAGTCCAAATATTTGTTGTTTTAACTTAAATCTGTATATTTTTCAGGTTTCTGGAAAAAAAGAAAGAAAGCACTATTTATATAAATCAATGTTGGGAGCCAAAGTCAGCTGTTCTTTTCGTCCACCACATCCAGTGCTGCTAGTATTTATTTAGTGTTCAATCAGCTAATATTATGTTAGCATCGATTAAGCTAAAGCCCCGCCGCCACTGTAGGGGAGCTGTAGGTGTAGACTGTAGATGTGCAGTTTGGGTAGCAATCATTCACACTCGTTGGTGTGAAGAGTTTCATTCCAGAATGACACATCTGAAGATCTGCTCAGACGAGAAAAAGACTGAAACTGAAAAAGCTTCTGAAGGATGACTTGTAGCTTAGGTTTTTTTTATATATAATCTGCCTGACGTTGGGAATGAAGTCCTCACATGATTTAAAAGTTAAAAACTGAATTTTTAGCACTGATTAAAGCACTGCACCGAGTCCTGCAGCCACAGATGTCTCTCCCCGAAAGCCAAGGCGTGTTTTTTTTCAGTATTTAACAGAAAACTGTCACATATGCTCTTGATTTTAACATATTGCTTGTATATTATTATTTAAAATGCCTGTGAAGAGAGGCAGTTATTTTTTTATATTTCTGTTTGAGCATGCATGTGAACTCTTAAAGCTAAACAATCACTGGTAGTGTTTCAGTAGACAGCTTGACATATGTAGTGTGCTTTGTAATAACCGCATATTAAATCTGCGCTGATGGCAGCGTGGCTTAAACAGAATCTGTAAAAAAATGAAATGAAAATTGTTATTTATGTATGTACAGTTTGCTAATTAAGGAAGATTACTTTCTTTTACAACTAATAAAACATGAAGTATTTACTTTTCTGGCTTCTTTTTTTAAGGGAGAGGGCAAAACTGAAAGAGAACGGCACAGAAGAAGATTTTCCCAACTTATGCTTTTATTTACATGCACAGTAAACATTGGATGGTAATGATGTCCGGTTTGGCTGGATTTCCACTTCGTTCAAGTGGGTTTTCCGATCCTTGGGTTTCCCACACGTCTGCGACTGTGTGTGGCTTGAATCAAACTTGTCAACTTCAGACTTTAATGTAAAAAAATAAAAAGTTTAATCACTTTTACACTGGAAACTGAAATTTAAGGTGCTCAGAAACAAACCTTTAAATACTCTAAATATTTAACCCTGTGATTAAAGCACATTCATTCAAACGCGTAACTTTCCAGTCCCTTCTTTCATCTCGTTAACTGAAAACTATCATGGTTTCTAAGTGGGAAACAAAAGCAAAGTTCTCCATAAAATAATGGTACTTTTTAGGAAACTGATCATAACTATATAGGCTAGATTTATAGAACCTATTTTTGTGTCTGACATGAACACAAAAATGTTATTTAAGGAGTACTTTCATGAGCAGTTTAAAACTCACACTAAGATTAGATGCTAGTGAATTAGTCACCAATAGATTAAACTAGTTTACCCTTTAATCTACCGTTTAAATCTGCAGCACGTCTTAGATTAATGGATTTTGTTTGGGGGCAAATTTAGAATAGTTTCCTACCTGTTATAAGGTTCCTGAACAGCCTCTGTTAGGGGAAATGGTTTATATCCCTTCGGATTGATGAGCTAACGGCTAGACTCAGCCAGACCAAAGTGTCAAACTGATTGTTGTCTCACCAGGTTCGCATTAGATTGTTTACATGGAATTTCCTGGTTAGGATGTGCGTCCTGAGGTCGAGTCCAGCAGGAAGTTCTTACATTTCCTGGCAAAAAAATAATGATGTGTTGCAAAATTGATGACAGGACTTGATGTGAGCTGCTCTGAAATTTGGAACTTTGTAGCTAGCTCTAACAATAAGCTAACACTAACGTGAGCCATCTAATACTAAGATATACCATGAAGTAAAAAGATCCACACTGTTGGACGAAATATATCATTCAGTTCCAACAAATGAGTCTGTGATTTTGTAGCCTTCTTCAGCTCCCTCAAATGAGAGTAGGCTGTGCCGACATTCACTCCGGTTTCAGCTCTTTCTTCACCTCCAAGGCATTACTCTCTCACTTTTACTTCCAGGCTCCGCCATGATGTCAACAGAAAATGCAAACTTCTTGTGCTTTTTATTGACAATCGACAAACTGAAAGAGCTAACTTCTATCATAACAGCCATAAAGCCGATAAAGAGCTCCCTCTATAGAACACCTACCCGCAGTTTAAGCAGGGGCGTAGCACCAAATTCTGGGCCCTAGGTACAAGTCTTCTAGGTGGGCCCCCATGCTCAATTACTTAATATCTCTCTGACACATTTTTTGTCATGCTATAAGACAAGATAATAAATATGATCTTAGTTTAACCTCTATATTGAGCAAATACAAATGCCAGCATAATAAAAGTGAAATGCCAAGACTTCACATATAATTATTTTTATTTGCCAACAATGTGTTCAAACAAAAATCCTGGAATTTATTTTCCTGTAAATGCCCACTGACAGGTCTTCATGTTAGCAAAATCACTTATGAGATCTTTAAAGTCCAATCCTTTGGCTAATTGGCTTTCAATAGAAAAAAGAACTAGGCTGTTCAGTCTATCCTGGGACATTGCTGATCTCAAATAATTTTTCACCAGTTTCAGTTTGCTAAAAGCCCGTTCACCCCCAGCAACAGTCACAGGCAGTGTGCAAAAAATCCTCAGTCCAATACAAACTTCTCCAAAAATGCTCTGTAATTGCATCCTGTATGGCATTAAGCAGCTCAAGAGGAGACCGAATGTGTGGAAATGTGGCACCATATATTGTTCTCAGGTGTAGCATCTCATTCTCAAATTCAGCTGTGAGATCCTTGTAATATTTTCTCATCAGTGCCTGGCATGATGTCTTCATCTGCTCTTCAGTCATGTCTGTCATGGTTCATGATGTTAAGCTTTGCTAATACTTATATGTATTGATATATTAAATACATATGACATGAAATAAACCAGGTTCTCTCTGTGAATGTAATGCACTCTAAATTTTATAATCCCTGCATTATCAGCCAAATTATAAGATTGTCCGTTTTCAAGATCAAATATAAAGAAATTTAAAATAGGCTTAAAATATCTAACCAAGTCAATAACAATCCTCTAACACCAGTGTCGTCATGCTATACGAAAAACAGTGGCAGCTTCTCATTCCTGAGATTACCACGAATCCATCGATACCAAGTTTGTCCTGGTCCATGACTGGGAAGGAGCTGAAATATCCACACAGAGTGAACCTGTTTTTACTGCGAGGTCCGCGAATTAATTGGCGGCGGCCGCCCGCGATAATAATTCTGATTTTAATATATATATATATATATATATATATATATATATTAGGGATGAGCGAGTACACCACTATCTGTATCTGTACTCGGAATGGGCGTGGCATAACCCGGAAGTGGGCGTGGTTTAACCGGAAGTGGACATGGTTTACATCAATGTATTATTTTAAGTCTGAAATTTATATGGATTGATCAGAAGTTGCTATGTGTATTGTTTATTTGAAAACTATTTACAGAGCAGCCTCAGAAGTGAGATTAAATATTTTTGATCACAATAGTAAAGAAACTATTACAGAAAAAGTGTTTCAATAAAATCAGAACATTAATATTTGAGTGCATGGATTAATACATCTGAACCCATGCAGTAGGAACTAGGAAATATGAAATGCTAGAACCAGACACAACTTTATATATTTTTTTTATTTTAATTTGATTAAACTGATTTTTTTTTCTTAACGTTCTTGGCATTTTCCCACACAAAGTTTAACAAAGAAATGTTGATTAATGTGTGTGTGTGAGTGTGTGTGTGAGAGAGAGAGAGAGAGAGAGAGAGAGAGAGAGAGAGAGAGAGAGAGAGAGAGAGAGAGAGAGAGAGAGAGAGAGAGAGAGAGAGAGAGAGAAAAAAAATTAAAAACCCCACCGGAGCGGAGGTAGTGACAACAGCACGTCAGCTCTGTCTTGTCAAATGCACCATGTCAGTTACGAAAAAAGTAACTTTAAATATTCAACCGAAAAAGAGGCGAGCTGAAGAAAACCTAGGGAAAACTGAAGAAACGTGAGCAACAGTGAAGCCATCACAGCGCGATCCGTTACTGTCTGTGTGTGTGCGTGGATGAGCCGGCCGGACTGAGCTCCCGGTCGGCTAGAGAGTTTTGTAAGTAGGGAGGGGCGGGCGCTCTATGTGACTGGCCAATCACAGAGCGTGAAGACAGTCAGTTACCCAATGAAGATTTTCCTTCAGCACGATTACAGAGAATGACTCGTTTTACTAGTTTCATGCTCGTATTCATCAAAAATGCGTTATCCGTACCGGATACTCGTCTGAAATGAGTATCCGGCTTATCCCTAAAATTAGTGTTTTCACTGATAACACTAATTAATTTATATTTGATCTTGATGGTGAAACTAAAGGTGTTTAACACTGAACACCTAACATGAATGCAGCTTCTGAGAGCTAGCTAATATCAGCTAAAACTGTGTTCTGCTGCTGCTGCTCACCTTCCTTCTACTTGCTTCTGTTCAATTAACTTTTCCTCCTTCTCCTTCTTTTCTTTTCTTTTCTTTTCTGGAAGCCAGATTTCCCTTTCTTGGGAAAAGACATGACTGACTCTCCTGCCTCCAGCTCTGGCTGTCGGCATCTGCGATGTCTCATTAGCACATGCAGCCGGGCAGCCCCTGGCCGCTGGTGTGGACTAAACCACTTTGCACATTTTTAAGGGGTGATAGATGCCTCAGAGATTATTCAGTTATTATTTTTAAGGCGAAATTCTGTTTCTTAACCTCTTTATCCAGGTAAAGGGAAATTTATTAAGACATTAAGTAAGTTGGGGGAAAAAAACAACAACAATAAAACATTTTTATTCAAAGCTGTCTCAGGGCCCCTCCCTGCAGTGGGCCCTGGGTAAACGGTACCCTTTCCCCCCCCAGTCCGACGCCCCTGAGTTTAAGTGGTGTCCAATCACTGAGATCAATGTTAAAGCTCTAGCTTAAAGTTTAAAAAACTGTTTGGTGTTACTGCAAGGATGTAAACACGATTTTTCTAAGTAGAGGCTGTTCACTATTATGGCTAAAATAATAATTATTATAGCTTTTATAGAAAGACACTATTAAAAATGGCCAACACTTTTTTATATTCTTACATTTTTAGTTGAATTGCACTAGAAAATGCCTTTTTTAAATTAAAATAGTAAAAGGAAGTAAATGTTTTCTTCTAGTGCTTTGACATGGTTGTTCAGCTAGTCATGTTATTTAGTTTAAAATTAAAAGTGTCTTTGTTGCATACGATTGTCCCTTTTCTATCACCCCACAGGGGCTCAGCCTCCACTGGTCATGGCATTCTCTCCCAGTATGGGTCAAATTGGAAAGATTCAACATTTTACATCCAAATTCCAGGAAAAATGGAGCCACAGAGAGAATTCTCATTTAACTATAACTGGTATTAAATCAGTTCCAACAGAGTTGAGCAGAAGGTTTATTCAAAGTTAAAGGCCCCATTAGCTGTCACACTGGTGTGTGAAATTTGTTCTCCGCATTTGACCCATCCCTTGGGTGAGCGGTGAGCTTATTGCTGAATGTCAAGCAGGGAGGCACTGGCTTCCATTTCTAAGGTCTTCCGTATGACCCACCCAACCATCTATTTGAACCCACAGGGTGGACACTCATACCACTGGTAGCCTGGCCAGCCATGCCAATGCTTTCTTATGGGAAGCAAAGGGCCTGGAAACACTCCCATTTAATCCCCACCCCCTGAGAATTCTAACCGAGCCAATCAGTGCTGAGCAGCGTAGGTCACACGCTGCGGCGCTCAGGTTTCTCATAAACAACAAAGATGGTGTCTGCAGCTGAGTTCACTGCGACTGTTTCCTCTGTTCTAAATGACATGAACGTGTTTAAAACCCCAACAAGAAAAAGCGCTGAAAGCCTTTGTTCTAAAGAAAGATATCTGCACCATCACCAGACGCCATCTTTGACTACAGCAATGCACCATACAGTTGTCATTTCCACCTTTTTTCTGACTGGTTATTTTTGACCTGGCTAGTCCCACCCTTCATGGTGCCTCTGCCTCTGAGTATCCAGACTCGTCCTTTGGCAGGCCAGGCTATACCCACTAGGCCACTGAGCTGGTTTAGATGTTTATCTGAGATCTGATTATATCTGAGGGACCAACTAACGTCTATTTCTCATTTAATTATTTCCTGTCTATATGTTTTTCCTTGATTGATTAAAGGAATAGTTCAGAGTTTTTGGAAAACAATCTTTGAATACTTCCAGCTGTTTGAACAGCCTTAATTTAGCTAAACGAAACACCGGCAGCTAGCCACAAAGTAAACAGTTTTTTTACCATCTCTATTCTGAAACCAAAGGTGCTACAGACAGATTGCTCTGCAATTAACTTTTAGTGTGATGTGGAATTTAACATCAATTGCGGAAACCACAACGTTTTTTTACTACGGCAGTTGTCGACTTTAGTATCGAATTTGCTCAAACTAGCTGTTAGCTTGTCAATCCAGTAAAAGTTAATAGTTTTTGATCTTTTTTAACATAGATTTACTTGGCTTCAGTTGTAGTTTCCAAACAAGATATTTAAACTAATGTTTAGAATACAGAAACAAACAAAACTCTCTTCAGCCAGTTAGGAAATCAAAGGCAAACCCGTGAGCACATGAACTATTAAATCCAGCTAAACTCAACACATCTCATTTAATTAGTGAAAAATGAGCAACAGTTTGTGTTTGAAATCTTGAACAACTGCATTAAGACCAATCTGTGCATCAAATCAATGAAAACACCCTCCTGTCTCTCACTTACAGCCTCTGTGCTGAAAACACACATGCATTTATACACACACACACACACAAATACGTATTTAACACATAAATTCAGACATTTGTAGCATTAAAGCAACAGAAACTAACTTTCTGTCCACCAACATTCATGGAAAATAAAAGATTCAGTCTTTAGCATGTAATCTAAGTGCTCTCAGGACTTTTCTCAATCTCAGATTCATCACATTTCACCCTTGGCTCATGTCAAAAGGTGACAAATTCCCCCAAATAATCGTAACGCGTAATTATCTCTCTTATGCAAAAGTAAAAATAATGCCCATGAACCCCTACGATCAAAGAGGAAGTGCACTTTGGTCGACAGAAAAATTAGCTGCTCATCTCAAGCTGTAGCGATGCTAACAGAGTGCCACAACAAGACCCAAATACCTGCTGTCTTTCAAAATAAAAGCTTTAGTAAAAGCTGCTAAAAATAAAAAAAATTATAGATATTAAGAAAATAAAGAAGCAAATAAGATGAATGGCTTTGAGGCTCAGATTGTTCTGACGTGAAGTTTAAGAGAGCGACCTCTCCCCGTCAGCTATAAAATCACTTTATTTCACTCATAAATAATTCTCTAATGAAATTAAATCTAACATTAGCTTAAAGCTTCACTTTCAAACGTCAGAAACGCTTCTGAGCTTCAGGTGATGCTTCGGATCCGACTCACACGGTGTTGGTGCAGTCAGGGCGGGAGCCTCCAAACTGCAGGACGCTTGGTGCTGAAGGGGTTCTGCTCAGGTTCTCGATACTGCCTCGAGGTCCTGAAGTGGAACCTGGCGAGGAGGAGCACCCACCGCTGCTGCTGCTGCTGCTGGTGGAGGGGGGGCTTCGTTCAGCCTGGGACAAGGACTGAGATGATTTAACGGGGCGGTGGAGGCGGTGAGCGTCGAGCATCTCCAGCAGCAGATCATACAGAGGCACTTTGTTCTTACACTTCATGCTGTACAGATGCTCCATGCCTTTGTTGCTGCAACAGACACAAAAAACAAGCGTCAATTCAAATGATAATTTAACGTCCTTTAAAGATCATTATAAGGTTTTCCCCATTTGGTTCATTCTCTTATGGCATGAACCTCCAACGAATCTAACATTCATGAATTTGTATTTTTAAATCTGATAGTTAAATGTTAGTGACACACGAATTATTCACGATAAACTTAATTTAGGTCATTAACAGGAAGTCTGGAACATTGCGTGTTTATATATCCCCTTTGTTTTCAGCCTAAATGCACATTAATGAAGTTTTAAAAGCCTTTTTTATTCAACATTCAATTAGAATTTCATGAGCATATTTATGTCATGGGATGGAGCGTGCATGTTACCTATGTCTGCAACAGATGGAACAAATCAGGTCTTTCTGGTGCTTCAAAAGCATCAAAGCCAGCTTCATTTATAATGCTTATTAAAGGGGACCTTATTTCTTAAGTTTTAATAGTTCTATTGTTGATACCTAACATGTTTATTAAGTAATTTACACTAAATCACTCCCACATGAAGTGATTTCAGTTTTCAGAACCTTCCAAAATGAGCCGTTTCAGGGCTCTGTCACCGTAAGAACACAAGCTGGAGCTGGCCACGCCCACCCATCACCCACTCAGGCTGCTATGAGCGTAGAAGCTCAGATGTCCAGGAGGGGGTTCAAAGTTGAGCCGCTGCTCCTTCAGCATCAGCTCTCTCTCTCTTGCACGTCAAAGATTTTTTTCTAATTTCCCTGCTTGTGACATCACAAACAGATTTTAAAAAAACAGCTTGTTTTAGGCACATAATTCCTAAAACCAAACACTGACAGACAACAGATGGACAAAATCTTTCACATTTGGAGTTTTTATAGAAGCATTAGAGACCAACATGGCAGCACAAAAGGATGAATCATATGTCCCCTAACAAACATTTTTTTTCTGTGTTGTTTTCTTTTTGAGTTATCTACGTTATCGTTTGGACTCATCCGACTCATCCTCTAAAATGTTCAATTCTAAATTTGCTAAAAACAAAACAGCATCAGACCATTTCCTTACCTCATGTGCCTGATGTGGGAAAGCAGTAGGAGCAGCTGGGCCTGCCGCCTCGCCTGCTCCCGAACCGAGAAGCCTGATTGGCTGATGTGATGTATAAGCGCATCAGTGATGGTGTCCAGCATGCTCTGCACCGCTGCGCTGTCGTGAAGGGGCTCCATTGTTCCAGTGCAAAAAGAAAAGGCGCCTGACGAGAAAAAATATGTTCAGTTTGTAGCTTTGTCCTCTAATTTCTGCAAAAACAAAGGCGAGTAAATCAGCAGCAACAATTAAAACTGATTCAACTTCGTTCAGATTAATTTAAAACTCCAACACTAAAGCTTTTATTAGAAGTTATTAAATGTGACTCATGCATGTAAATAGAAGCAGATATTTAGGATGCAGGTTTGCAATCACGAAGTAATCAAAAGTTCATCATGATCCTGAGCGTCTCATCTCATCCTTCTGGCATTTTAGTCCTTTTGCTTCCCTTATAGAATATTTCCATCGCCATGACAAACAAACACACCCTCCTCAGCTGTCCCATGTTGCTGTGGCAACGGCTGTTGAGCATATTGACGGTACAGGCCTTTCCAGAACACTCTGTTCGTCTAATGTGCCTGAGCAGCTCTGAGAGCTACACCTCTTGTGGGCGGATTTTGACTCTGTTCAATATTTACTCTCTGGAGCGGAGATGGAAACCTGTGACGTAGCATGCATACGACCCAAACTGTGAAACTTTAGAGCTTTTTGTTTTGTTATTTTCTATCAAATGTCCCTGATGCCTGCAGGCAGAGTTTTCATGCACTGGAGGGAAGAGGTTTGCCTCACCAGAGTTGAGCAGAATGATCGCTTTAAGGCAGACAAATTCCTCCGGTTTGAGTTTGAGCATGCGGAAGCGGGAAGCAGTGGCCAGCAGCATGTCAAAGATCTCGGTCATACCCTCGACGCAGTCGCCCTCGTTCCTGGAATGCAGAGCTTACATTTTGTTTTGTTTTTGAAAAGCACATAAATCAAGGTTGTAAGTCAGAAACGTAAGCGGTGATTTGAGGAAAACAGATCCCAAGGTCTGGTCTGCAGTGGGAAGAAGAAGCTGATGCATTTCAGTTGTGAAACTATCCACTAATGCACTGAATCACTGCCGTGCTCCATTTGTGAGGGGAAGATGGATAACATCCAGTTGCTTCAGTGCAAGATAAACTTGGAGAGCTCAGAGGTAAGGGAATGCATCCACGCTGACCTGCAGCATTTTAGTCATCATGTCCAATTGACGAGGACACTCATTCAGAGGCCAGGTTTCAGAGATAATACTCTGTAAAACACTTTTGATCAGATGGAACCATCAGAGTGTAAAAGCCCTGTCTGTCTGCATGTCTCCCTCACCCCTGTCGCTGTCGCCTCTCCTCTCCCTTTCTCCTACAGGTTGATGCTGCGGTTTGACCAGCCTGTTTACTCTGAACATGAGGAGAAACGAAAGGAACAAGCTGTGCCTGCGAAGCAGAAAACACCCATGCCTCCTGTCTCTCTGCATCTCCACTTTCTGATCTTTTCTTTTCTTTTCATCATTTAGCTCCTCAGTTTCGTTTCCAGTCACCTCCCTCTCTATTTCTCTCTGCTGCTCCCCGTCTCCCATCATTCTTTGCATTGAGGCTTCGATTAAATCCCCATCCTGGTTTCCAGCTCAGCCTTGTAATGATCAGAGTGTGTGTGTGTGTGTGTGGGGGGGGGGGGGGTACTTCTGGTTAGCTAGTGGCTGCTCTCCTCTCTGTGGGGAACATGTAATTAGTCTTTCACTCTGTGCCAGATGTGTTGGGATGGCACAAAAGGCTGGCAAGGTGTGACATGATAAATCTACAATGCTGATGGATCACTTTTAAGATCTGACATGGAAGAGGGGAAAAAAGAAGAAGAAGGGTAAATGTGTTCGTCAGCGAGGATGAACCTGTCCAGTATGAGGTCCTGTGCAAAGATGAGCTTTCCAGGGCAGTGGATGGACCTCCAAATTAGCCCAATCATAAGAACCTCCAGCCAGGAGCTCTCCAGCAGCAGAACCTGGTCATGGAGGGACAGCTGCAGAAAGCCTGGAAACACACACACACACACACACACACACACGATCTTCATGAGCTATTCGGTTTTAAATGTTTTTTTTTCTGATCACCTTTAACATAAAGAGTCTTATCACTGGTTCCCAGCTGTTTTCATTCATTTGTAATCACAGCCTATTTATTTCTTTTGTCCCCTCTGGAGCCCGTTTAGGGCCCCTCGCAATTACAGCTGTGTATCTTTGGGCTTTTAGTGACGCACGAGGTCGTAATGCCTCAAAATAAGGATTTACTCCTTCAGTCAGGTGAACGTGTGTGTGTGTGTGTGTGTGTGTGTGTGTGTGTGTGTGTGTGTGTGTGTAGCACACCTTCTAATGCATTTAGGCTCTATGGGGTGCCAGCAGATTGACTAAACAATCCTCTCAAAGGTGATGACTGTAACTACCTTCACCTTAATGGCTCTACGTGTGTGTGTGTGTGTGTGTGTGTGTGTGTGTGTGTGTGTGTGTGTGTGTGTGTGTGTGTGTGTGTGTGTGCGTGTGCGTGCACACGCTATTACCCTAAAGGTTATGGTGGCAAAAGACATAAAATAAAAACACAACAGAGAGCAAAGACCTGATACATAATAAATCTGTGCACCGACATTCAAACCTGACAAAAACTGATAATCATATCAACTAAACTACAGGATTGAAAATGATAATGATATAGAAACTGTTAAAGGTGTGGTTCAATCATTTAAGAAATACATTTGCACTGGTCTTTAGTAGGAATGAATGCCTTGTAAGTCGTACTCGGGGTACAAAAAGCCCTGGTGCGCCTGTTTCAGGACGACTGCCAGACCCAAGTAGAGCTTCAGACGGCAGGATTTGGAGTATTCCTTCCTGAAATTTGAAAGTCTCACCTCTGACTGGCTAATAGCAACTCTACCGCTGACTCCATTTACAACCTTGATGTTTTATCTCCACAAATAACACAAGCCTGGAGGATTCCTGCCATGTGGTGGAGTTGCTAATGCTAATGGTTAGCTTCTACTAGCAGAGACGTTCTCGGCTGTTTCCTGGACGCTAAACCAACAGCCTTCCCCGTCGTGAGTAAAGATGGGTGAGTCTATCAATGTTAATTAACAGTGTGACGTAGATCTGTCAGGATTTTCTAATCCTAGAGTTTCACCGTCTGTTTTCTATCAGAAGCTAACACAGGAGATAGGTGTAGGAGACTATTTTCTTGTTCAACCTGCATGAAAAACTCAGAGTGACCAAATATAATCAGAAATAATCACTATAAAGGTTTTTTCAGTGATCCACACCTTTAAAAAAAGTCCAATGAACTCTGTATTGCTCTTGTGTTTTCTGCGGTTTGGGATGTGTGCTGTCGTTCCAGCTAACTGAATCTGCATCATTTGATGTGATACAGATTTTCTGAGCAATTCTAGATATTAAATCCAATATTAATTAGACAAAAATCAAATAAAAAGGCAGAAAATACTTAACCAGTCTGAAATGTTACCACACTGCGACCAGATGGTTGTGGTGATCTCACTAACATCCAGTCTGGGTCATTTTTGACCTTTCTTGTTCTGGCTAAATGAAAGAGGTCTAAGAAAAACGCTCCTCTTGTAGGAAAAAGTTTCTGCAGTCAAGATGACCAGCCTGCCTGGGAGCGGCAAAGGTGAAAAAGGTGCTAAACGTGCAAATCTGGTCTTGTTTTAGAATTTATTTGCTAAAAGAAAAGCTTCTGTCAGTCTAAAAACAAAAGGCAAATATCTTTAATATTAACTTTATTTGATATTAAAACTGGGTTTATTAGTTGTAAATGGATGACTACATTATTATGACTAATTATAGATCATTTGGTAACACTTTACAATAAGGGTGCCTTTATTAATGTTACTTATTGCATTATTAAGCATGAATAAACTATTAAATAAAGTATTAACAGCTGCTTAATATTAATGTTATTATTAAGTAATGCATTCCTAAACAAACACCCCCTGGCCCATTGTCCGAACCTAAAAGACATGGCGCAGTGGTTAGAGCTGTTGCCTTGCAGCGCGAAGGTCCTGGGTTCGATTCCCGGCCTGGGATCGTTCTGCATGGAGTTTGCATGTTCTCCCTGTGCATGCGTGGGTTCTCTCCGGGTCCTCCGGCTTCCTCCCACAGTCCAAAAACGTGGTCTCTCTACATTGTCCTCAGGTGTGTGTGTGTGTGTGATTGTTTGTCCTGTGTGTCTCTGTGTTGCCCTACGATGGACTGGCTCTCTGTCCAGGGTGTACCCCGCCTACTTGCCCGTTGACTGCTGGAGATAGGCACCAGCCCCCCCGCGACCCTACGTGGACAAAGCGGGTTCAGAAGATGGATGGAATATCAGGAATTAAGTAAAGGGACACTTTGTTTATTAATGCACTAAGTAACGTTATTGTGAAGCGTTATCGATAATTTAGTGATTTCCCTTGAGTGAAGGGAGAAATCTTTCTGTTTTCAAACCTGGAAGCTTCTTAGCCCAGGCGATCATGTGGACCAGCTCCTTGTCAGCCATGCTGGTGAGCAGGGTCATCATGGTGACCTCGGTGTAGGGTCGGCTCAGCTTCTGACGGGAACAGAGAATTGGGGGCTCGGCACCCTGGAGCAAGAGGAGCACCTGGAGACGGAAAGAACAAACGTATCAATAAATGGAAAAGAAGACTTCTTGTTTTCTCCAGAGGAATCAGCACCTGCTCCGGAGGAAGACTGCTCATTGAAGATCTCCCTCCTCCACCCGGGCTGCTGTTGCTGCGTTTTCTCCCATCATGATGCGTTGCTGCTTTCTGCTCCACGCCTTTACCAACCTTGTCTCTGTCGCCGCCTCGTCTTTTGTCACGCCGCAGAACGCGACCCCGGTCTTTGCGCACACCTTGGAGACACAGCAGACAAACACGCTCAGAGTTGTCGAACCACAACATCTAGTTTGCAGATTACACAGATAGCTAAACGATTCGAGAGGTATGAAAACAAAAACGTTGATGCGTAGTAATCAGCACTCGTACTCCTTAAAAGCAAATCTTTTCAAGGTCTTGTTAAAGTTCATGTTTATCTGTTTCCACCAGCGCTCTGGTATTTATGCTATCGAGCACTGAGCAGAGCCAGGATGGACCAATTAGTTTTCAGCTATTATGAGAAGAATCTGATGTTAAACTGCTAAAAATACTTAAACAATCAAAATTATGAGCCCAGAATTTAACAACAAATTTATAAAATTGCAAAAAAGAATAAAAGTGATGAAAAAAATCCATTAAGTTGGTTATTCTGCTCACCTCCTTTCATCATACCCACTTCGTAACACTTCCTTAGACGACAAGCTTGGCAGCTCTTCCTCCGATTCCTGTCAATAGTACACTGATTGGTCGCTGGGCACATATAGTCATTGTGACCTGAAAAGGAAGGAAATCTATTAGTTTTACTCTTTGAGTCCAATATCCAGCTCAGATTCAAGCTATTTGGCAGCCAGGAACACTCCATTCCCTACTCTAAATGGATCTAAGATGGAGAAAATTAAAACATAGCATCTTGGTTTTTGTTATTGCCATGGTGACTGTTGGTTTCCTCATGACCGTTCCTTTTGCTGGATCCAACAGAGGACGGTTCCCTGTGCTCACAGAGCCGTGGATGCTTAGAAGTCGCGTACAGAAGAAAACTAAAAGTTAACAAATGATTACTACGTTTTTTTATGACATGCATCTTCCCCTTTATGACAGCGACTCCACTTGGGTCTGACAGCTTATGTTTCATTCAAGGTTGCAGGTAATTCACCGCTGCATAATGAGACATGCAAACAGCCGACTGTGTAACTCACAAAGCTCATTCTCATCTTCTCAGTAACAAATCTTCCCAGGTGCCTCTGATAAAACATCATGAAACACCTTCAGCTGACAGAAGGAGACAAGACTATTTATGGAGTTATTATAAGTATTGTGTGTTTTATGACTGATGCGATAAAGGAGGGTTAAGTCTGACAGTGTTATAGCGTCTCCTACCTTGAATGCTCCTCTTGAAGAAGGCCTTGCAGCCTTCACAGGACCACACCCCATAGTGGTACCCAGAGGCGTAGTCGCTGCACACGGCACAGAAACGTGTCTCTTTGGCCATCTCAAACCCCCCAGCTCCGGCTCCTAACTCCCCCACACTGAATGCCTCGTCACGGGCGTCACACTGGTCCTCTCTGGAGGCTGGCTGGTGACTGGATCTGCAACGAGTCATGAATTTTAATTTGTTGATTAAACTGCGGTACTCATAAAACACTATAAATAACAGTTTTTTATTAGCATATGAGGATAAAAAGCAATGTTTAGACGATTATGCAGAACAAATACCAGTTTTGTCATTTTTAAAAGTGTTTAGAGCCATTAAATCCATTCCAGATGAGAGGTGAACCTTTGCATAGTGACTTTAAAAATGACAGAGGCCTCGTGTTTTCCACCTGAGACTGCATGTGCACTTGTGTTGTTCTTACGTATTGTTCCTCTCTCAAGGTCCTTTACCAAGTCCTTAATCTCTGGAATTAGAAACCCGGACAGCGCTTGATCCTTTACAGAGAGATAATAGTGCTGTTTTGTTTGAAGCTAGAGATAAAAAGCTCTGCGATTATTTAATTATGTTTTGTTTTAAGGCGTTTTAACGACTCAACCAAACCGCCAATGCTATACACTGCAAAAAGTGATTTTCAAAAAAGCTAAAAAAAAGTCTTGATTTTGAACATTTTTTCTTATTTATGTAAAAAAACGTTATCTGCAAAAACAAAACTAATTGAAAAAAGTTTAATATTCTTAAATATGACCAAGTTTTCTTATTTTGAGTGCAAAAAATATGAATTTATCATTATATTAACTAGTGAATAAATCAAAGAATATTTACCTCATTACATAAGAATGTTTTTTTTCTTAGACTAAAAATACAGGTGAAACTCTGAAAATTAGAATATCAAGCAAAAGTTTATTTATTTCAGTAACTTGACTTAAAAGGTGAAACTAATAAATGAGATGGACTCATTCTATGCAAAGCCAGATATTTTAAGCCTTTATTTGTTATAATTGGGATGATTGTGGTGTACAGCTTATAAAAAGCCCCGAATTCAAAATCTCAAGACAATCGGAATATTGTGAAAATGTTCCATATTCTAAGCTCAAAGTGTCACACTCTAATCAGCTAATGAATCATAAACATCTGCACAGGGTTCCTGGGCCTTTAGATGGTCTCTCAGTCTAAGATGGATCACAGAAATAAATGGGCTTGAGCACGATATTCTAATTTTTTGAGTTTCACCTGTAAAACAAAATGTCTAAAAGCAGTTTTTCATTTAACTTTCTTGTGATTTTTTTTGTGGTAAATTAGAAATAAAGTGTATAATTATGCAGCAGTAATTTGCATCAAAATGAAACCATGAAAAAAATTGGGGAAATACACCCAAATAAGTATTTTTTAAATATATTTTTTATGAAATGGCCTCCTAAAGTCTTTATTAATAATTGACTAAACTCATCTGACATTTTAGATTGACTTGATCTTAGCAGTTCTATCAAGTCCTGCTCCAGCCTGTGCTCACCATCAGTGATTAACGAGTGGTGCACGCTCGTTTAAATTCAAATCTCATACCTGTAGATGGGAGTTGAAGCAGCTTCCAGATAGTGGTGACCGGGAGGGTGCATAAAGGGGCTGAGTCTTGGACTGGTGGGCACAAACACCAGAGGACTGGTTGGCCCACTCCCCAGAGACTGCAGGCTGCCATCAGACGGAGGTCCATGGGCGTCCAGAGGAGCAGAGTAGTACCCTGTGGTGGAGCTGCTGTAAAGAGGAGTTGGGGCAGGGGTGGGGGCGGCGTAGTCGTACGTCCCCTCTAGGAAGTCCACAGCGGCGACCCCTCCAGAGCCTCGGCTCTCTTCAGGGTACATGTCGCTGAGGAGGGCACGGGGCGAGGGTGAGAGCCGAGGTGGGGAGAGGGTCTCCAGCTCTGAGGAGGCTGGGCTGATCCTGGTTCGGAGCGCTGGTCCAAACTGCTTCCTGCTCTGCAGCGGGCTCTGCCTGAACATCACAGCACAACAGCACTGATAAGCAACATGATTTAGACCCGCTCTCCCATTTGTTGGGTGGGAGAGAGGAGTACTGCTCACCCTCTCCTTCCTCTCTTCTTTCTCTCTCTGGATCTCGTCTCTCCTAGAACTCCTGTCAAGCAACTTGGAGAGACCTCTGAGTCCTCTTTTGCTCTGTCTGCCTTCAGGTTCTGCTCAACAGGCTCTAAAAAAAAGACTCCTCCCAATCCACTTCGTTATTTTTTTCCTGAGTGTAGTGTTTCCCTCTTTTCCTTTAAAGTGTGGGAGTCAGGGAAAGCTGGTGGGAGAGAGGAAAAGACAAGAAGGAATGACAGAAATAGTGATTCCCAAATAACTTCCCCGTCTCCTCTCCTCCACATGGCCATTTCCACTTCACCTTTGCATTAAATAGCTTTTAGCGGCTGCATCTGGATGCCAGACAGGAGGAAACTCTATAGCAGCACGACTATCTCTGAATATTCTTCCTTCATTTAGATGATCCTGAGCGCACAGCAAAGATCCCCGCTCTATTTGCAGCCTAATGACTAAATCCACCTGATGCACGGCAGCCGATCGCTGTGAAAACGGGATAAAAGTAAACAGCTTCACAACTCACGAGCTAAAAAACAATAAAAAAAATCCTGCATGAGACTCCACTCACCTCTCACACATGAATCATCCTCAGATATGCTGCGCAACGGCGGCTGATTTCCTTCTCCCTTCCTCTCTGCCTGCCTCACAGGCATCTAGATGGGCTCGTCGGACTCGCTGGGAACAGTGGAAAGGTTTAAAAACGGATAAACAAATTAAAGATGCAGCCAAATCAATAGCCATGGTGCGTTTAGGAGCCAGGTCACCATAACACAGCAAACAAAGCGGGAGGTCAAATCTCATTCTGACGGACAATAATTATGCAACCAAGTCCAAATAAGGGTGTAGATGGATGTTTTTTACAATAGATGCACAATCTAAGTGATCTTTCTGTGAAGTTTAGAATGAAACTGCAGGAAATGGAAGGATTTTTCTGGTTCTACAGGTTGGTGTTGCGTCATAATGAATCATCAGCAGCAGATTAAAAAGGATTTGTGCAAAGATGCGAGGGGACAGTTTTTGTTTGTGCAGTGCAAAAGTTTCAGGTTTGGGACCATCAGGGACCTTTGATGTCCTGGGATGTTGGGGAAAAGACATCAAGGCAGCAAATACTCAGAAAAAGTTTAGATACTTTAATCAAATCCCAAATAGGCTCAGCCGTCAAATTAGAAATAATGTTCTTTTAAGTTTAGGGAACAAGATAAAGCGAGCATAGATGCTACAAAAGCAGACGAGTTGCAGCAACCACTGGAAAAGACCAAAATAACTGGGGCACGGAGCTTTCTTTCATCTTCACCTTTTCCTGACTTCACAGCATCATCTTCAGGAGATGTCAGGTCAAGTGGAAAACAAGTGGCTCTGATGATTTACGTAGCATTCTGCATTTCTCCTGAAATAAAATTAAGATGGTGGGAAACAGCAAAAGCCAAGGGTGAGAAACGGCTGCAGCAAATCGCCTAAATGGCACAAGATAGGAAGCTTCCGGCAGTAAATGACTCCATTTTCCTGAAGGACCACCATGACAAAGCCTGAATTTTTTTTGTAGCTCATCCAGAACGTTGCAGCATTTTGTGACTTTTTGGTGCAAATTTCAGCTCCTAGATGGAGCCTGTTCCTGATCTTCATCAAAACAATCTTGGCAAAAATCTTGATCCAGTTTTCAAAAACTGGATTTGACAAATCCAGTATTCATGGTTCCCATCCGTCTTCTGTAAAAAGCATGACAATGTGGGATAAGGTCCATTCACTGCAGTTATTTATTTAGTTTTGCAAACAACACAATTTGCTCCATGCACCCAAAAACCCAGTAATCACCACCAATTTAAAAAGGACAGGTTTCATTGAGTTGACAGAACTGTGTGCACATAAGCTTCCAGTTTTATCTATGAAGTAAAAGAGGTCTGGTTCCACTTTCACACCAAACAGGACGAATGTTGTCGCCGTTATTGTTGCACTGCCCCCCATAACACTTTACCATCCCGTAAACAGAGGAACTGGTCATAATGCAGCGCTAGTTCGCTTGATTTAAGCCGAGGTTTTCTCGTTTTGATGCATTCCTATCACTGGCACTGAGAGCAAACGTATCACAGAAGACATTTAAATCACAACCAACGTTCTTCTTAATGAGTGCTGCTGATCTGGGATAAAGAGGTTTTGTTTCATCTCAGGAATCTGTAAACATCATGACTTCAACCAGGGAATTTAACAAAATATCTGCAATGCAACCTGAGCCATGTTAGCGATGAAAATTCCTTTTTTCATCCATAAACTTGAGTTAAAAATCTTAAAAAATAAATTCTAAATGAACTTGATAGTTTGAAAGATGGCATGAATGCATGCAGTAAAAAGGTATGTTGTTCCAGTGCATTTTAATATGAAACTTGGTGAAGTGCTTGCAGAAAAATAACCCTTTACAACTCAGTTTTATTTTGATGGCATCTTGGCAACCCCTACGTCCGATGGAAGAATCTCTCAGCTGTTCTCCTGTGGTTGTTTCAGTTATTCTGCTTTAGGGCTGTGGAACTGAATGACAGCGTGCTTGCCGCTGGTCATCCAGTTTGGATCTTGAGTGGCGAGTTTCTGGCCTTGGCCCGGCTGCAGGCCCACCTGAACGTCGGCCTTGAGGGTTCTCAGGCTGCACAGCGGCGCGGGCTCAAACCCTCTTAGGGCTGTGCTGAAATCCACCGTGTGATCCCAGTCCCTGTCTCCAGTCAGCTTCCTGTAGTTGAGATCACCTTTAAAAAGCACCAGGTCCGCCTCCTGCAGAGCAGCATACAGGTCAGGAGCATCAGCCGCCATGTCACAGAACTCATGAGGCTGAGTCCAGAAGGGGTGGTCATGATAACACCAAACACCCTCCTTCACGTATTTCTGCCACTGAGCACCGCTCTTGGACATCCACCTGTGGTTGGCTGCCATGGCCTGGCGGATGGTCCACTGGAAATCATTAGCTGTGACGTCAGAGACAAACCACGGAAAGCATTTGCCGTGCAGGTGAACTTGGCGTGCAAGGCCAGAGGAAACCAGGAAATCAGCTAAAATCAAGTCAGTGACCAACTCGAAGCCAGCGTTGTCGAGCACGATGTCCACTCTGGCTCCAGCAGGTTTTACTGATCCCGCCTGCCTCTGGGGAGAGCTAAGAGCTGACCAAACCCTGTTGGAGTCATCTACCAAGACAAAAGCTTGGAGGCTGTTGAGGGAATCTATTGGACTTGTCTTCTGGGAGTTCTCTTGACCAGCAGAGATGGAAAGATCACACTTGTTCCCCCATAAAGAAACCTAGAAGAAGTTAAATAGAGATAAATCTTGAATTAGAGCTGAGTTTTATATTGTCCTAAACATTTCTCTATAACGTGATGGCTGCTGTTTCCTCTAGAAAAGCTGTGATTGTGTGTTTTCTTTCACAAACAGCGCAACTCCGCCCCCTCTCTGCCAAAATGTTCGTGACACAATCAGCTGCAGAGCTGCTCTGAGCATCTCACCATTTAAACACGGCCAAAATGAATCAGATCAGGTTGTGTTTAGTAAAACTTTGTGATCACTGGTTAACTTGACAGCCCTCACACAACCTGTATAAGTCTCAGTCGTGCTTTTGGTGGGTCGTATCAAAGATTCTGACCTGTAGTAGCTTGTTAAAATACTCGCCGAGCTGGTCTTTCGAGAGCTTCTCCATGTTCTTATAGATGTCGGCCAAATACGTGCATAAGGTCATCGCAGCCTTCTGGGAGTCAAAAAAGCTTTGAGTCTTAACCTCTTTAAAGACATCAAAGCTGCTGATGGGAGGACTGAAATAATAAGAAATAGAACTTTTAAAGGCACTGTATAAACATAAGTCTTATTTATTAAATGTATTGAGTATTAAACTGAACATAAGACATGTAGTTTAAACTAGTTGTTATTTGTGGTTTTAAGAGACCTTGATTACTAAACCAGTCATGTGACCCATAACACCCTCACCTCTTCCTAGTGTTCTTCCAATTAAAGAGCAAGTCACCCCTTACAAGAAGCGTACTTCACTCCTACTTCATGTTTGAAAACTGCAACAAATGCTGTTGCCTAGCAGACCGAGAGGGTGGAGCCACTAGCAAATACACACACTCACGACATTGAGACATCATAATGTACCAGTTTACATCATAGCATACCTCTTAGCCAATAGCGGTGGCAGATTTAAATTCAAATGCAGTGCAGAGTTTTTACCTGACAACGGCACAACACTGACAGTTTCAGGCAGAAAATTTAAATTTTAACTAAAATGCACTAAAGTGCAAAACTATTGACGACACGTGTCTGCAGCACGATTAGACACGCATTTATATAGTTTATCAGAGAAAAATAGTTGATTTGGGGGTGACTTGCTCTTTAAATAATGTTAGCTTTGATATTAACTGCATTGTTGCATCCTTATTTGTCTAAATGTGTAAACATGAATAAATCTGATCAATAAACCAAACTTATCTGAATGTCTCTCCAGATCCTGACCCGTTTGCACCCAGTGTGAGGAGCATGGGTCTCAACCCTGCTCCTCAAGGGCCACTATCCAGTGTGTTTTGGTTGTTTTCCTGCTCCAACACACCTGATTGAGTGGTTGAATCACCTGTTCAGCTGGTCATAGAGCTCTGCAGAATCCTTTTACACCTAATTTACACAGAGTGTGGAACGGGTGCGGTCCAGTTTCCATACGGCTTCCGGGTGGAATGTGACTGACATCATCTACGGTTCGTGTGCGAAACGTTTCTGGAAATCTGCTCTCAAAAGAGCACCAAATGATTAGAAATATGGCATAATACGTTTACAGATAAACCTGATGATGTGAACTATCATACACTGTGAACTGATATCCCTGTCATCAACAATAAAAAAGCCAGAAAAAGTGCAGCACAGATTTTATTTTGAAATAGAGCGGATGCACCTTGCTAGCCCATGTCTCACTTCCTGTCTGGCTTGTGTCAGGTATTTAACTTTATGACCTTCCTCATGCGGCGTCCGGAAAATAATAGACTCATATGGAAACTTTCTGGAGCTCCGCATCTGGATTTGCACCGCAGCCGGTGTGGATGCTCTAACTGGACACAATGATTTTTTTTTATCTTTTCAGAAACCGAATTGCACCTGTTCCACACTCTGTGTAAAAAAAGAAAAAGTACACACCTGTTCCTCTGCATCTGGACAAAAACGTGCATATGTGGTTTAATGGATCTCGTAAATGAGCCTTTAGTGTTAATGTGTGTGTAAGTATATCTAAAGTTTAGAGGCGCTTCTGTCTCAACTCATCTGATTTATATCAGTGGGTGATTAACAGGCTTCTGCAGAGCTGCTGAAAAGGTGATTTAACAATTGAATCAGGTGAGCTGAAGCAGGGAAACAACTAAAACATGTTGGATAGTGGTACATGAGAACCAGGGCTATAGACAATAACAGCTGTAACTCTGTGGCACTCAGCTTGTTCTTTATTGGCTAGTTGCTCCAAACATATTTCCTCCATCATATCTTCCCATCTTTGCAAAGTCTCACAATAATATATATTTATTAATCCTTGCGTTTAGCCATGATGCAACTAAAATTTAACGATTACTTTCATGATCACTTTAATAAAGCTGGTGTTAATAAATGTGTCTTCTATAAATACTGTTTAAGGGATTAAATCTGTCGGTTTAGAAGTCATGGCAGGTGATAGGGAGTATCTGTTTCTGTTTGGAGCTCAACTGATTTGTTTCTTTTATTTAGGTATTTTTTTAATGAAGTAACATCAACAAATCTATATTCTTCTCACTTGAGTATGAGGGCCTCTTGGATCCTGCGGTACATGTAGCACTCTACATACAGCCACGGACACTTGAACCAGCTGACAGACTCCTGATCCCCCAGCAGTCTCTGCTGTCTCCGCATGTACTCGTTCCAGGACTCTGTGTCTTGCAAGTTGTCTGTCAGCAACAGAATTGGTTTATCTGTTTGTAGCTCGTTTCTCATCTTAGAAAGGAGAGAGATCGTCTGCTTTTCTGCATCAATCCCGTTCTGTTAAAAATAAAAAAAGGCAGAAATCAAAGTCAAACTCTACACTGTAATGCACCGGAAGTAGCCTCATACAAATGATCAGGAAATAGTCCTTACCTCCCCATATTCTTCTAAGAACTTGTTTTTGTTGCGATGGATTGTGTCTATAACTTTTGTCAAAATGGTTGGCAGTCTGTCTTTTACAGTCAAAAAGGCAAATGACCTGTAAGGAAATGAAAATGTTACACTAGTTTACAGGTGTATGCACTGAACATCTACCCGTGAAGTAGTCTGCATGGAAATCATTTAGTAAAATAAACGATTTAAAGTGGTTCTACGTATTCCTAGTAACATGCATTTGTCTAAGTTCAACTACACTAACGTGATATTGACTCAGACGAACAGTTAGCCACTAAGGTTGAGTCTGTTAGCACTGAGCTAACACTAGTAAAATACCCTCTAGTAGCTTGACAGAGCCGTCTCGTTTTACATTTCACTTCTCCACTATATAGAACTCCGAGTCGCTAAATCAGTTGTCATCATACCCTATCACCCTGGCAGATAGAGAAGGAGGAACTCCGTCAACTGGTTGATCGGCCGCTATCATTGTTGCTGAAACGTTTCAAAATCAAACTTTATTGATAAAAACGCCTAACGCCAAAACAAAGATGAGCAAGTTTCGGTAGTAACCTGGTAGTAACCCAACTGCGTGGTTTTTAGAAATTAAGCGTCAATACATGCTATCTTTTTGTTTTAGAAACATATTTAAAATGTATTTCCTGGTTCCTGTTTTAGTTTTTTTGTTGTTGTTGGTACAATGGCGCCATCTAATGGTCTAAATATAGACTGCAATATTACGCACGTGATCTCAGTCTGTAGACGGTCCTTGCCATATTTATGAGCATTATGCTAAATTGAAATATTCTTTTTTTGAAAGTCGTATTGCGCATGTCTATCAGTTTGCAACAGCAGCTGAACAAGCATCCCTCGTCTCCCGAAGTAACAGTTGTCATGGAGATATTGACTCAGCTCAGTCAGGGAGTGGAATTCGAACTCCCCTTAGGCTTTTTGGCGGGAAAATGGGAGGAGTTTAATTAAGGACAATAACAACAATTTAAGTTGCAAACACGTGGGTCACGTGACAGGACTCAAGGTTTAAGATTCTCGCTTACTTTGATAAGATTCTCGCTTACTTTGAGAAACATCACCTGACTGCAGTCACGCTTAACAAGCGTACGCTAATCCTGTCGGTGTTATCCCCTTCCTGCAGATCCGCCCCGGTCACCATGGGAACGAGCCGGGCTGTTGTCAGGATGCCGGGTCCCTGAGTGGGAGTCCAGCTGCGTCCACCTCCGGTGTTCATCCACCGCGGGCCTCCCATCCCCCCGCCGGGCCCCAGCCTGGCCGGATTTGTTTTTCTAAACCGAGAGAGGAGTGACTCACCACTCCGGTTTTAAAAAACAGGCCAAGGACGAGACGAGGGGGAGGGTAGCAGTTAACGTTAAAGGTCCTGTTTAAACTGTCAGTCCCAAAACCAGAGACTGATCATGTTGTTTATGTGGCTTGAACTGCGCTCAAGGCGTAAATGTTTGTTTTTATGCCATGCTTTTCTTTGCAAACCATTTTAAAACGGATTATTGCATGACAAATGACTTTAAAGGAGGTTGAATGCAGGGCAGTCATGTGGAAGTGTTTCAAAAAGCCTGTTTTAAGAGAAATAAACAAGTAAAAAACAAGGTATTTAGATAGCTTTTATTATCAGCTTAACTACAACGTATTGATCCTCATTACAAAACAGTAGTGTGAGACCTGTGGTAAGAGCTTATCTTTACTCAATTAAGCCCACGCTTCGGGTCTTTCAGACAAACTAAACAGGCTTTTGATGTGCTTTACTTCCTGGTGTTGCTCCACCAACAGAGTCCACCTGTCTGTAGAACATCCTGGACCGCTAGAAGTCTAACTGATGGTTTTTGTTTTGTCCAGATCACTTTATGATGCCAATTCCCATGCTTCTCATGTATCGCTCATTCTTATTTACATCCAGCCCCCACTCAACATGTGATACAGTTGCTTGCTTGATCTCCTAGGCTCAAAACCCCAAAACTGGGAGCTATTGTCATACTGTGATACACGAGGGTTTAATTCTATAATCATTTGGCTCATTCTGTGTCGCTAGCTGGTTTAAAGCTAAACACAGGGCACAGATCTGATTAAGGATTCTTTTGTTTTCTCTTAATTTAGCAGATAATTCCATCAGTCTGTTGTATTTATTACATTAATGCCTGGTTTACTTCAACAAAATGAAGAGAAAAAACACTCCTAATGATCAACTAAACAGCAGCTGTAATGACATAATAAACTTTCAATTGAAAGATTTGAAAAGATGAGCTAAATTAATTTAGGATCAAGCATCATGGAAGCTGCAGGAATCTGGGAATATCCAAAGCAAGTGATTCAACTTCAGGGTTTTCTGCGGAAAGTTACACAAACATCTTATGTGCTTTATTTTAGATACGTGTTATACATTCTAGTAGCAACAAATGATATTAAACAGGGATTAAACCTGACATTTTCAACTTTGGGGGGCTTCTGACATTCTACAGAATGAAGCATAATCTGGATTACATTCTAGATGGGATGCCTCTATTTATACTTAGACCATTTGACTTTTCCACCAAAAACGATCACTTTATGTGCAAAACGGTCCCAATCATCCAGGGATAGAACTCCATATTTAAATCTAGATATTTTATCCAATCATTTCATAAGAACCAAGCAGCAGATGTTAACAATTTTATTCAGATTTTTTTCCCCAAGTAAATTTGCTTTTGCTAAAGTAAAGGGTCTAACACCACGCCAACACTCATTTCTGTGCTGCAAATTGTAAAAGCAGATCCAGTCTAAAATCTGAAAATTATAGAATACTTGATTTTCATACATTACACGTGTTCATCAATATCAAGCTATATAAGAACAATGGAAATAATCTTTACATAAATTCATGTTTTAAAAGTTGTGTGAAGTTGAATCAAATAATTATTGTTTGAAACTAGGAGGAAAAGTCACTTTTATTCACCCTCGTGTGTTTAGGAATTTTAGAACGCCTAATTGGGTGTTAATTACATGCGAACATTTTGATATTTTACTAATTAATTACATACAAATGGAATCTGGTTTATTTAGATGAGTGTCTGATGAGCGCCAGATTTAACGAGTCGTTAACCGGGCAGAGGCGTTATGACTAAACCGTGTTTAACTTAGATCCTCTCCGCTGCTGTCAGAAAAGAAAAGGTTCCAGCAGGGCTTGGTCTCACGCACGGCGGTTACACAGTGCGGGAAATTAACGTTAACTCCACCGCCCCTTCCTCAACGGATCTTTACAACGGCTGCCTGTTCACTCAGTCATGTGATTGTAACGTAAAACCCCTAACCGGAAAACACCGACGGACGGACGACCCCACTCCGCCGCCAACGAATGCAGCATTTACAAGGAACACAGTTGAAGCTGCAGCGAGCGAGGCGCAGAGCGGAAGGACGAGTCTCCGGTAACAAACGAAACGACGGCGACAACAAACGGAAAAACAGCGCGCGCAGGTACGTCCGTCCAGCTACCTAACACACCTATGCTAGCTGGTGTTGCTATGTTTTGGGGTCTCTCTGTGTGCTTCGGTTTGCTGCTAATTGCCACGGCGAAGTTAAAAGAGACGCATTCGTGACCAACCCCATCCCCCTTTGCGTCTCTCGCTTTCTTTTTTTCTGCTTACGTGTGTGTGTGTGTGTGTGTGTGTGTGTGTGTGTGTGTGTGTTGTTCGCGCGCCTCCGCGTGTCTGTGTGCACGTCCGTTTACTTGCGCTGGTTACCGAAAGACCCGATGCGAAGGCAGGAACTAGACCGAGCCCGCTCGTTTCCCCCACGGGATCCATTTATGTGCTTCAGCTAATATTTTCCTACGTGATATTGAGCTGTTTTTTATTCCGGACCCATGGTTCCCACGTACTCCCCTCACAGGCGGTTTCACGGAGTATTATCGGAGTAACTAAACCACGGAAGCGACGTTTCCACGTGTCTACATCACCGCAGGGGCGGTGCTTTATATTGTTGCGAATAATTTAGAAAATAATTTGTTGATTGAATATAGGAAACAGTAACCCTTTTAGTTATCAGTAAACGTGCATAATTCACACGAGAAAATTGGTGATCTGGGGGCAAAGAAGTCAACAAGACCAGAAATGGCCCCTAGACAGTCGTTACCTGGCTCTTAATGTCTTCAAATTTTAGCAGAGTTCACTTGTGTTTGAAATAAATGAAAAGGCTTACTTTTCAAAGTGGTATCTTTATTTACTAAGTTCACACTACAGTATGGGAAACTGTATTAGAAGAAGAGGAACTGAATTATGTGGTTTTCTTGATTTCACCCACTAATGCAGCGGTCACTGACCTTTGTGAAGCAAAACATGAAGTTTTGTTATGGGTACAACACTAAAGACTTTTAAAGGTGTGGTTCACTGAAAAACATCATTTAATTATTATTTCTTCTTATAATCGGTCGGGCTGAACATGAAAATAGTCCCCATACACACATTTCCTGCATTAGCTTATTTCTGATAGAAAATAGGCGAAGACATTTTTAAAAGCCTGACATAACCACGTCACACTGTCACTTTACATTCCTGGACTCATCGTGCGTTCCAGTTGTCCTCAGAACTCGGAATCTCTGAGCAGGAAATGATGTAACAGGCTCGTCTTGCGTTCCAGCTTCCAACTAGGAAAAAAAGGGATGCCACCAGTGTTGTTGAGTACTAAACCAAAAGAGTTATATAATCAAGTATTCTCTGCATTAAATGATAGTGACACACGCCCTTCGACAGTTGCCACATATAACCAGAAAGACATTACAAATCAAATATAAAAATATAAATGCCAGGAAAAGTAAAAACCTTAAACATCGGTCAAATTTTATGCGGCAATGTTCAACAACGTAACTATTGTTAACAATAAACAACTTACCGGTGCTCTTAAATAGCAAAAAGAAAGAAAACAGAACATATAAATGGGGGGAAAAAATAAAGACGATAACTACTTGGTAACACTGGGCACAGCCATCTTTAAATTTGGGATCTCGGGGTCCTCTGAAGCCTACAAGCTCGCAGCGCGGAATTCCGAGTTCATTGCATAATTTCCCGCTAACTAATCTCGGATAAACAAGTTCCGAGGACAACTTTAATGCACCATCACCCATCAGACTCTTAATGGGGATAGCCGTTGTTGGCATAGACACGAATACGTAGACGCCCCATTGGACACTAGGGAGCATAACAGCGTCGCCACCATGTTGGATAGGTCTCCTCACTCTCCATAGTCAACTCAGAGTGAGCAGCTATGCCCATTGTGCAGCTTACAAAAACCAGTGTACCATTGAAAACACATCATGTGGGATTACTATTGACTTTTCTTGCCTACCTGATGAGATTTTATATTTAAATTGGTTTAGTTTAATTATATTCATATTTTAATTAACCATGTGTCTGATTTTGTGAAGAAGCTTGATCAAGTGTGTTTTTAGTTGGGTAAGCACCATCCTCAGTAAAAATGAGTGCATTGGGGTTGAATGGAGACCCATCTAAGATGGCCGCTACGGCAGCTTCAATAAGCAGTGCCAGTCCACTAGGTGTCTACGTATATATGTCTGGTTGTTGGTTTAGCATCCAGGAGACAGCAGAGAACGTCTTGGCTAGTAGAAGCTAACCATTAGCATTAGCAACTCCACAACACAGCACAAGTTCTTTCAGGCTTGAGTTATTTGTGGAGATAAAACATCAATGTTGCAAAGTAAATGGAGTCAGTGTTGGTCACATTTCTGTTAGCCAATCAGAGGTTAGATGTCCAAATATCAGGAAATAAGACTCTAAATCCTGCCTTTTTAAAATGCATTTACACGCGTTAGTCTTGGTGAAGGCGAACTGGTTCTAATTGTGCTGAACCACCCAGATATGCAGAAGAAAACCGACTGCATCTGCATGTAAACAGCTCAGTTGGGCTGATACCGGTGACTTCCGAAAATGACGATAATGTCATTGGTACAAAGTAACACATGTAACACATGTAACACCATCAAACAGTAGATTACATACCAAATAAGCTGTGATGCAGCGTTGTTCTACATTCCAACGGCCTTAGTGCATCTCTTGTTTTAACTTTGTCGACTTCACTCCCTGTCAGCGTTTGTTTACTATTTGTGTTGCTGTAGGCTAACTGGAAGAATGCCAACACGAAAGGATGCATGTCGCCACCTACTGTACCGGAGTGGAACTAACTTCATCTGAGAGTTAAATTTTCTAACGTACTTGTAAACTAGGATAAAAGCTCCCAGTTTATTACTTTAGATCGAGATAGATGTACATGTAAATGCACTAAATGATTACAACAGAAACTTCACAAGCTTGTTCTTTGTTATGCAAGAATGTTTTGTTTGTTTTTGAGTGTAGTGAAGTTTTGGTGCCTTAGAAATTTCTGTGACAAAATTCTAATCAGTTTTACTGGCTGATTTGTCCTCACAGTCCAAATCCAGATGCTGTTTTTACATAACATGATTAGTGTCTCGCCTCCATGGTGTCTGCCTTAGCCGTGGAAACCCAGCCTGATCTCGGTGCCGGCATCTTTGCACTCTGACCTCTGATAACACACGAGATTTTGTTGATGTGGGGGGGTGTCCAGAGCAACATGACTGACCTGCCAGAGAAAGAAAAGCTGACAAAGTCTCTGTTATCATCTTTCTCCAGACATGTCTTTGTGGCTGTAAAGACATAGTTGGAGGAAGGAGTCTTCATCCCCACAGGACGTTTTCATACCTCACTGCAAGGGGGTAGAACAAGCTTTCTGCCTTGGAATGTGTGACAACACCCATAACCCTGGTCATGTGATGGCCCAGAGTCCTCCTGTGACATTTAGGGTCAGCAGCACTCTTCTCATTGGTCAGCAGAAAGCATGCAGCTCTGAAATGTTTCCAAAGCTTGACTATGAAGGACTTTTGTCGTATCAAATCCAAGTTGTGATTTCTTACCACAACACATGATGGTTTTATTGCGGTATTCTTTTAAGGAACAATTAGTGTCCCGGCTGCTGCAAAGCCTTGGTTATAGAAACAATCTGTACGTGAAGAACTGGTTTATTAGGCTGAAACATTTCAGAGGTTACATGACAACCTTAAACTGGAGGTTGCAGGTTCAATCCCACCAGAGAATGCTGCGGTTGTGTCCTTGGACACTTAACCCGCCTTTCCTGCTGGTGGTGGCTGGAGGGACTGGTGATGCCAGAGTATAGCGGGCCTCGCCTCTGTCGGCGCACCCCAGGGCAGCTGTGGCTACATTGGAGCTCATCATCACCAGCGTGTAAATGTGTGTGTGTGTGTGTGTGTGTGTGTGAATGGGTGGATGACTGAATGTGTTGTGAAGCGCCTTGGGGGGTTGTAGAATCCTAAGATGTTGCTTTACAAATACATGCCATTTAGGTCCCTGAGGTCCAGTGATCAAAGCCTACTGGTTGTGCAGCACCAGGCTAAAGGTCAAAGGTGACAGATCATTTGCTGCTGTGGCCCCCAGACTCTGGAACTCTCTCCCCTGAGCCTGAGATCAGTGGACTCAGTGGTCTCCTTTAAAAAGCAGCTGAAGACTCACTTGTTCAAGCTGGCTTTTGTATGACCTTCTTCACCACTCTCTCTTTATTCTGCTCTCCCCACCTATTCCACCTTCCTCAGGATCCACTGATTTCCCTCTTTCCTGTTCACTCTCTCTCTTTCTTAACATTTTTACTCACAATTGTCTAATTTTGCTCATTTTAAATATATTTTTAATCATTTTCTAAAATCTTTTTTATATTTTTACATTTTTTGTTTTTGTGAAGCGCCTCGTGATTTTTATCTTGAGAGGCGCTGTAGAAATGATATTTTCTTCTTCTTACCTTTTAAAGTAACAAAGTAGTTTGCTGCTCCTCCACCCTACTGGTTGAAAGGGGAAATGCAGCAGCCTGCTGTAACACTAACATGAGCCAGGTTTTACTAAATAAGCCACAGATCAAACAGATCCACTATTGGGCAAACAATATTATTAATTACAAGTCCAGTAGCAACAAGGCTAGGTCACCATCAGCCCGTGATTTCATGGCCTTTTTCAGTTTTCTCAAACTAGTGTAGGCCACGCTGATGTTTACTCCAAAGACATTAGTCTCCTGCTTTTACTTCCAGGCTCCACCATGATGCCAACAGAAAAGCAAACTTCTTCATTTTCTTCTTGAATTTTTAATTGAGTAGGAATTTTGTTTATAAAAATCTGCTGCTTACATCTAATTTCTTTTTAGTTTGTTTTCTTGAAATAAAAACTACAAATTGACAAACAAACAAAAAAACAACAACAAGTTGGCTTTGTTTGCTGATTGTCACAGTTTAATATCTGTGTAATTCATAGATGTTCAGTTTTGCAACAGTCTCAAAGTACTTCTTCACGCTTCAGTGAAAATGGCCTTTGTGAGGATGTTAGATCACCACTGACATCCTGAATTTCTGTCATCAATGACAAAAACCTCATCTGTGTCTTGACAGGAAACTCACTGCTGCTTGTCTGTGTGTGCAGGTTGAAGAATGGAGTTGGCCAACCATGGTCTTATCCTGCTGCAACAGCTTAACGCTCAGAGGGAGTTTGGTTTCCTGTGTGACTGCACCGTGGCTATAGGAGATGTCTTCTTCAAAGCCCACAAAGCTGTCCTCGCTGCGTTCTCCAACTACTTCAGGATGCTGTTTATTCACCAGGACAGGTGCAGAAGAAGCACAACAGCACAAGTATTCAGCTTTCAGCTTGAGCACAATAATGAGCTGTAATGTTTGTGTTTCAGTGACTGTGTGCGCCTGAAGGCTGCTGATATACAGCCAGACATCTTCAGCTACCTCCTCAACCTGATGTACACAGGCAAGCTGGCCCCCCAGCTGATAGACCCTGCCAGGCTTGAGCAGGGGGTCAGGTTTCTGCACGCCTACCCCCTCTTGCAGGAGGCCAGCCAGTCGGCGTACAACCACCCTGAACAGAACATCAACCTGTCCACTTCTCTCTACGGCATCCAGATCTCCGACCAACAGGTGGCGCTGTCGGCCAGAGTGCCCACTCGACGGCAGCTCTCCTCTCCTTTCGATGTGGAGCAGGTCAGCTCAGAAGGAAAGTTTCCGTCCACAGCTTCAGTCCCAAATTCTGTCACGTCCCAGCAGGTGTCCTCACCCCCTGAAGTGCAGACCTCAACCAGCAGAGCTAAGTCTTCTCTTGAGGAGATGGACTTTCTAAGCGCCAATGGTTCCTCAGCCGGTGCCATTCTTCATGTGAAGCCCAGCATAATGAAGAGGAACTCCTCCTTCAGGAAGCATTACTCGTGCCACTTGTGCAAGAGCAGATTCACCCAGAGGAGTCTGCTGAGAGAGCATCTCCTGCAGCACACCCAGACTCTCCGGCAGCCACCAGCCGAGCCCAGCAAGGCGCTCTCACCTGTCGTTATGGGAGAGCACGCCGCGTTAGCAGAGGGGGTCCTGAAGGGATCAGGTGCACCGGTGGAGATCATCAGTGACAGTGAGCAAACTCCCGTTTCAGGTACCAACTCTGACTCTCCCCAGGCAGAGGCGTCCACTCCTACCTGGGGAGTGGGAGGGTTAAGTTCTCAGGCAGACACTCCACCCCCGGCAGATATCGCAGACATTGACAACCTGGAAAATGCTGACCTGGATCGGGAGGTAAAGCGAAGGAAGTACGAGTGCTCCACCTGTGGCCGTAAATTCATACAGAAGAGCCACTGGCGAGAACACATGTACATCCACACGGGGAAACCCTTCAAATGCAGCGCTTGTGGGAAGAGCTTCTGCCGCGCCAACCAGGCAGCTCGCCACGTGTGCCTGAACCAGGGTGCCGACTCCTACACCATGGTGGACCGGCAGAGCATGGAGCTGTGCGCCGCCGGAGAGGACAACAGCCAAATGGAAGCCATGTTTCTGGGCTCGTCGAAGCCATACAAATGTAATATTTGTGCGACGACCTTCTCCAGCCCGAGCGAGGTGATCAAACACCTGTGCTTCTCTCAAGGAGGACTAGTCGGGCTGCAGGGAGACGCAGGAGCAGGCTCGCTGCTGCAGCAAGAAGAATTTTCCAAAGATGAAGGCTCAGATTTGTCCAACTCCGGCACACCACTAGAACCAATAAAAACTGAGGAAATCCTTGTGGAATAGTTCCAGATCTGTGTTTCCATCTATTGCTGTAGGTAAGCAAAACATGAAGTTTGTCGGGGCGTGTTTTAGGGATTCTCAATCTAATTAAACCTTGTTTTTACGATGAAGTGCTTTAAATATTTAGGCCCGTTAGAGCTAAATCAGCAGCCTGATGCTGTTTCTATACAATCAGAAGGTCATCTGGACATTTTGTTGAAGTTAAATATCATATGCTCTGTGTCTGAGTCTTGTGGTGAAGCTGCACATGCATTAGTTCAGAGGAAGAGGAAGCAGAAGCGTCAAAGGAGGAAACAAGATGTCCGACTGGCTGGCTGCATTAGATCCGTAAAGGTGAAACAGCAGCAAAGTTCCAGCGGTTCTTCTTTCTGCAGTTCTTCAAAAAGCTGATGAAGCACATCAGGGACAGAAAACGAGCAGAAGCACAAAATCCCCGAGACAATCGGCGACACTCGAAATGCATCTGAATTCATTTGTCTTCCTTTGGTCTCTGCAGAATCAATACGTTGATTTGTGAAGTCAAAAGCATTTACTGCACCTTCCTCAGCAGAAACGTGGGTGTTTTATTTTGGTTTGCTCCATGTGCTAAATGTTGGGTCATTCCGTCGCAAAGCTAACCCCAACCCTTCATTTGTGCTTGTGGAGGATGCTGCATACTGTAAATGTTTGTTTTTAGAGTTGGAGCCACGCAATCCTCCGTCCTGTAAAATATTATAAATCACACGTTCTGTTTTTAATCGTTTGTTTGGATCTGTTCTTAACATCTTACTGTTTTTCTAGTTTTCTACACAGTGCTATATTCATCACAGAAACATATTTCAAAGGTTTTAGTAAAATGATAGTGTGGTAAAAATAGGAATTAATTAACAATTCATGTGTCCTGAGTAATATTTTAATGAAGTCTTTGGGGTGTTTTTAGTTCTTGCCAAATTTGTGTTAACTTGTAACCTACTTATTCATTTTGTATAAAGGGAACTTTTGTCTCTATTCTGAGGATTTATTTTTATTTTTTGCATTTAAATGTTTTTATGCTCAGCTCATACCAAAATAAGTTGGTAATGAATTAATGAATTCAGATTTGTAGAAACTAAAATCAATATAATTGCAGTTTCCTTCATCAGGAATTGCTGCTGACAAAAATATCATTTATTTGGAAAAAAAGTCAAGATTTCTCTTCTGTTTGCTGCTGAATTCATGAGATGTTTTAATTGTGAACAAGAACAATAAATATGAAGCTCAGAAATTGTTCACTTGTGTAACTGAACTATTAAAACACCAGTCAGAATCTGTGCTGCACAGAAAAACACAAGCTGTTCTGTTTTTCCCTCGCCCCTTCATTATATTTTGATTTAATAATGTTCTAAATTAATGCAAATTTGGAAAAAATTGTGTGTTTCTAAATGAAAAAAGTTTTTTCACCTGCATATACTTTTTTTTTACATTTTCAATTATTTCGCATAATTAGATCAGATGATGTTCGCCCATTTTGTCACTAGATGGCGCTGTTTCTCTTTGCTATCCACTCCAGTCCAGGGAGAGCTAAAATTGCCAGATTAAACCAGTTTCCCTGGAATTTGTGTCACATCCAGATACCCCAAAACAAAGAGTGATGTGAAAATCCTCCCTCAAGCTGAGCTTTCTGGTTCGTGACTATTTAATAACTCGTCTGTTTTGTGTTTTACGAACAGGCGAATGTCTCAGGAAGACACATTTGCTCTCACTGTCCACTCAGAAAAACAAAAGTGCACACTTGTTCCGTTGGTCGTCTACTGTGACTGATCTGTGTTCTCAGGAATGTAATGTAACTGAACTTTTCTTTTAATTAAAAACATCTTTATACAACAAGATTTTCTCCTGATCTGTTCCTTGCAGAAATGTTGCATGAATGCAACATTTGCACAACATTCTCATGCACAATTATGACTTTAGCAACTGTTTATTGTTATTTAAGTTTAATTGTGCAAAAATAATTTGAGAAAACACAAAATTTGTCGAACTTTATTGAATGAAATATAGACAAGTTTCTGAATCCTTACTATTAACAGCTTGGGAAATATAAAAGACAAATATGACCATGCTACATGAATCTTACGCTAAATGACTGCAGAGATTAGTTCATGTTACAGTTATCAGTACATACAGTAGTTATACAATCTGTACAAATGTTAAGGAGTTCACAGTTAAAGTGGGTTACACGTAGAAGGTGAGTGGGTCTGCTGCACCCATGGAGTGCTCGTCTAAACTACAATCTGCCAAGATTCTTCACTTATTTGGTTCTAAAGCAGATGGAAATGAGTTTCTAGTCAAACGAGCCACTAGATGTAACGTTTTTGGTGTTCTTACTGTGTCTAGTTTCTAACTCCATTTTTGGCTCCTTTTAAAACAGGAAAGGTTTCTCTTTACCTCGCTGACGGTTCCTCAGGTCAGCTCTGAGGATGTTTTGCAGTCGATAAAAAGAAACGTTAGCAAGGTAAAGAGAAACCTTTCCTGTGTTTTAAAAAGAGCCAAAAATGGAATTAGATGCAACTTTATTCTTTATTAAAGCATCAGGAAATTCCTCTAAAGTTGTGTTTGCTTTGATGGTAACAAAAACTTTTCCCCTTATTTGCAAAATAAATAAGCAAACACACGCTCCAACCTTTGATACCAGAGACAAAGCAGGTCTGCAGATGATTCTGGGCACCATAATTAGATGCAACTGATGTCTTGTCCTGTGATCGATGGAAAGACCATGGCTCCCTGATTAATCCTAACTCAATTTGGTTTCAAATTAGGAGCAAAAATGAGCTTTTGTATTTATTTCTGGCACCACGAAGCGTCACAAATGTGATCTCCTGGTACCAGCGCTAATAGACCAACGAACACATCATCCAGGACTAACTTGAGACTGGATCAAAGTCAAAGTGACGACTAGAAGCCATACTGCTTTATGTCTGCAGCAAAAGATGAACAGAAATGTTTAACGAGTCACACGTATCAGGAAAAAAAAGACCCTGGTTGTCTTAATCTCACGCGTTCGCCACATGATCACATGAGGGTGATGTCATAGTATTTAATTATCACATTAATCAATGAGTTTCTATGTGTTTTCACAGTAAATCAGGCAGTGAATGTTTGTCTTACCTACATGTATCTTATGAAGTATTTTCTTGTGCTGAGTGATGTTCACATTGCAAAAAGATACAAAATAATAAAACATTGGTGCATTTTTAACGTTTGTAGCACTTTGTTATTGCCGTCTGTGGAATAATAATGTTTGTACCATGGCTTATACCTGCTGCAAATATTTTATATAAACTTCCATCATTTAGGACTTCTTATTTTTTCAAATCCAGGTGTTGAATTTAATATGCTCTATAACAAAAAGCAACAAATATTCATACATAAAAAAGCAAATAAAGAGGAAAAATAAAGACATATGAGTGAATACTGATGATATAAATACAATGTACAAAGATATAATATCCATCTCTTTGTCTCAGAAGTCCCCCTCACTTTAGCTTCTTTACACATTCACACACACACACACACACACGCACGCACGCACGCACGCACGCACGCACGCACGCACGCACGCACGCACGCACACACAACCAAGTTGCAGCAAGACTTGTGACGGTACGATGAGAGTGTTTAGGAGCCAGATGCTTTCTGAGATGCAGGACATGCACGAGCATGTGTGTGTGTGTGTGTGTGTGTGTGTGTGTGCGCGCGCATGCGTGTGAGGGGACAACGATGGGCTGCCTTGTGGTTGTTGTGAAGGGGCTGCAGGTCAGGGGTCAGGGACAGGTGGGAGGAGAGAGAATGGAGATACTCGTCTGTCTGGATGGGATGGACAGTCACCACAGAGAGTGTGTGTGTCGCCACAGAGCACCCTCACTGTTTTCTCTCTCTCACACTCCCGTCGTTTATTTCCTGGTCCAGACAGCTCGTCTCCCAGGCATCACTTCTGCAGCTTCATCTGTGGAGAGAACCAAAAGTCTGATATTACTACAGAACAAAGCAAGACTGCTTAGTAAACACGCCCAGTTTCATTGCTCATAGCAGACACCATCAGTTGTGTCTCTGTCACACATACCTCACATTAAGACTTTATTTAGTCAAAACTGAGAAAATAAAACCCATAACTTTGTGGGCAGATCTTAGAAAGCGTTCTCCAACATGGTTTCTTGACTCCATGTTAGGTCTGTGATGGATGAAAAACAGGAGGAGGGAGCGGAGGAATCATAATCAGCCTTTCAGCACAAGTTCATCTGCCCCTCACACATCGCTTCCCTTTAAGATCCCAAAGCCCACAAAGACGGGGTGAATGCTGGCATTCCTGCTTTGATATCAAAGGTGCCCTGGTTACTGAAAGTCTGAACAAAAGCTTTTTCATCTGGTCGGTGTGCAAAGCTCCTCCTCTGCTCCCTAATAAAAGAAAAACCCACCGATGCTGAATAGAAGACCGGTGGAAACATGTCGTGTAAATTTTGTTCTGCCCCAGGGTCTCACCTGCTCATGATGCTGCTGTGATCTCCATGGACACGGGCTCGATCTCCTTCACCGCCTCCTCGATCACCTGCGCCATCACTTCCGCGCACTTTCCCGATGTTTTCTGCCCGGCTTCTGGCTCCTCTGCTGCATCTTCTCCTGAAGCCGTCTCTTGAGGTTCCTCTGGTAGCTCTGGGAGGCTGTTTTGTCTTGAAGGCTTGTCAGCTGTTGCGTTTGTGTTGTCCCCGTCAAGCTCCACCGTGGTTTCCACCTCCGCTGGCTTCTCCTCAACCACATCCGCCGACTGCAGGATCACCTGGGTCGGCATGTGGATCTCCAACACTTTCTGTGACCCATTTTCCTCCTGACCTTTGCCCTCTTCGACCATCTCTGTTACTTCCTCCTCAATAATCGTTCCTTCACTCACTTTCACCTGCTCTGCCATCTTTAAGCTTTGTTTAGGCTTCTCCTCTTCCTCCTTCTCCACTATGTTGTGTGTGACCTCCAACGGGACGGTCTCAGTGACCTCCATGGCGACAAAGAGCGCCTGCAGCGACGTTGCTGCTGGTTGTTCACAGACGACAGGAACAGGTGTGTCGGTGATGACGACACACTCGGCTGTGATTTCTATCTCGTCTTGTGTCGTCGCGGTTGCTTTGACTGGTGTTTCCGTAGCTGCTGGTGGAGCTGCTGACTTCTTGAGGTGGGAAGCATCTTCTAAAACTTTATCGACAGCTTCCGTAATCACAGCCTCTGCGATCACCACACTATGAGTCACAAGCTCGCTGCCCAGATGGACCTCTTCCGTGGCCTTTTCAATCTTCTCAGAAGCCTTCTCGACGTCGTTCTCTTTAGTTTGATGCTCCTTCTCTGGCGCAACAAGAACCACCGTCTGTATGACAACAGCGTTTCCCTCGCTTGTTACAACAGCAGGAGCAGCTGTTTTGAACCCCTCTGCGTTTTCTTTAGTGTCACAACGTGCAGATGACACCTCTTTGGCCACAACCTGACTCGCCTCCCCTACAGGAGTACTTTCTTGACTTGCAGCAAGCTGCTCCAGCTCCATTCTGACCTCTTTGATCTCCACAGTCATCTCAGCAACTTCCACCATCCGGGTGCAGACAACCGCCTCGGGCGTTGGTGCGATGGCATCGACTACCACCGATTTAGGGGAGTTCTGCTTCAGCATTGTCGGCTGAATGACCTCAGAGTTCTCGGTGCTGACCACTGCCACCTTCTCGATCCCAGGCTCGTAACTCTCGGTGGCAACTTGGACATCCACCACTTCGCTTTGCAACTTTTCAGCAACAGGCTCAAGCTCAAGAGTTTGTACTTGGTGGACATGAGCCTGGAGAACCGGGTCTTCTGTGGCTTCTGCTTTTCCTGAACCTTCTGGCTTCTCCTCTACAGCTATCTCCACGTTTGCTGCATCACTAAGGGGAGCGGAACATTCCACCGTGGGCTCAACGGGCTGCTCCAGGGTGACACTGGCGATCTCATCTGTTTGGAGGCCCGTGCAGATGGCCACGGTCTCCTCTTTCACATGTAGCTCCAGGACGGCATTTGCAGAGGACTCGGCTTCTTCTGTTTCCGGTTCCTTCTCCGTTTCAGCAGAAGCAACTTCTACTGGAACATGCTGAACAGTTACGGATGACTGGATTGGAATTTCACTGACTTGGGCTTCAATTGCAGTCACAACTTCTGTTGCGCTCTCCGTTTTAGGTCCTTGAGGAACGGGAGAGGTTGCTGCATCTGGAGCCGGAGCAATCGGCTTCACTTCAGCCGTAGACAGTCTGCGCCCTGTGCTCCTTGGACCTACAGGCAGCAAGCCCTGCTCCTCGATTTCACCCTCTGGAATGGTGTCGATGGATTTTGGCGTGGCTGAATTTTCCGCCTCTTCCGGGATATCACTTAGCGGATCGTGTTGATCGTCAATGTTTTCCACGATGGCTGGAATCCAAGATGGGGATCTATCATCGGCGGACACTTTAATCTGGAATACTGCTGGTTCTTCTGGTACTTCCTCCACTGCTTTGACGTGTCCCTCATATTCTGAGAGAGGAACAACAGCAGGGGTGTCAGAGTCCTCCTCACCCGAGCCCTGGTCGGTGGAGGACTGCTTCTCTGCTACCTTCTTTTTGCCTCCATAAAACAGCTTCTTCAGAGAGAAGGAGGACTCATCTTTGTGCGCCTCCGAGTCAGCAGGCTCCTCTGGTTTTTCCTCACCTTTGGTTTTGTGTTTTGACATCACCAAGCGTTTCAGCGTGCTCCAAGGAGACTCTCTCACAGGAGGGGTGCTCAAAGGCTCAGGTGCAGGGGTCACCTCTTCACTTTCAGGGCTTTGCGGAGGAACATCAACATCCTCTGTCTTGCGTTCCTGTTTCTCTTCAGCTGCTGCAGCAGGAATCTCCTCTTCAGCCTTGGTCGCCTCATCATCTGAGTCAGAAGTCTTTCTCGTCCTCTTTTTGGGACCACCCATGCACATCAAAGCCTCCCAGGAAACGGAGGTGTCCATTTTCTTTTTGGTCTCCTCTGTGCTGCTGGTCAGTTTCTCTGTGTTTTCAGTCTTGGGCTCATCCTCAGAAGCCTTCTCCTCTTTAGCCTCCTCCTCTCCTTTAGTTTCTGCTAATGGAGCGCTCTCGGAGGAGGACAGCGTGGCAGATTTAGGGGGTTTGTCACCTGTGCCTTCATCTTCACTATCAGAAGACCTTTTAGCGTGCTTCTTAGGTGTTACCAGCTTCCTGAAGGAGGCGATGACACTGTCCTTCTTCTTCTCACCGTCAGATGCTAGCTCACCATCAGTCTCCTGGCTGGACTCATGCTGGTTCACCTCTTCATGCTCCCCTGATGTTTCAGGAGATGAGGGCCCATTGTTGGCTTTAGGAGCCTCTTCAGACTCAATGGACGGAAGATGCTCAGCCGCCTGCTCCCCAGAGTCAGCAGGCTTTGCTTCTGAATCTTTCTTGTGTTTCTGTCTCTTAGTTGAGAGCTTTTTCAGACCAGATCCAGTAAAGAGCTTCTTCAAAGGGCTTCCATGGACCTTTGACTTCTCATGTGATGACAGCTGCTCAGCTTCAGCTGTTGCCTCTGCCGGAGCCTCAGCCTTTTGCTCTTCTGGTTTGGTTTGATCAGCAGTAGATTCTGTTGGAGATGTGGCTTCGACTTTCTCTTCTGGAGCAGCATCTGATTTGGCTTCCTCTGGAGTGCTTGGTGTCTCCTCTTTGGGCTCAGATTTGTCCTCCACGCGAGTTTCTGGCGCCTCCTTTGTTTCTTGTTCAGTCACAATGTCCTCCTCTTTGGCTTTCTCCTCATCCATGCATTTTCCATCCTGTGTTTCCTGCCCCGTCACATTATCTTCCTTCTTTGTTTCCTGGTCTGCATCCTCTTTTTCCTCAGCAGCAGACACCACAGGGGCTTCTCCAGCTTCCTCCTCTTCTTTTGTTTTCTTGATGCTGGATTTTTTTCGCAGGTTCGAAAAGAGACTTACTAGGAAAAACTTTCTGAAAGAGGACACACCTGTCTCCCTGGGTGAGGAGGTGGCTTCTGCTTCTTTTTCCTCCCCTTCTTCCTTGACTTCTTCTGCAGCAGCTTCCTCTGGCTGAGCCTCGGCGGTGGCGTCTGTATCTTTCGTTACTTCTGCTTCGGTGGTGGGTGGGTCCGTTTCAGCTTCCTTTTCTTCAGCTGCCGTTTCCTCTTCAGCCTCTTTGTCCTTTGCAGGTTCTTCAGTCTCACCAACCTCCTCTCCTTCTTTATCTTTCACCGTTAGTAGCTTCACAGGGTCCGTCTCATCGCTTTTATCCTTCTTCAGTGTGAATTTCAAGCCTGCAATGGAGAAAATCTTCTTGAAGCCAACCTTGTTGGCATCGTCAGCCTTTTCCTCCGTTGTTTTCTCTTCAGCAGAGGAAATATCATTGGCTTCGGGGGTCTCGTTGTCCATTTTCTCTCCGTTTATTTGAGGAGAGCCTTCGACGGGACTGGTTTCTGTGTTATCTGGAGCTTCTTCCTTCTGAGCCACAGACACACCATCAGGCTGGCCGACTGAAAACGACAAGGAGAGAAAGAACATCCTGTAAAACGCTGATTGAATTTTTACTCATCACTTTAATCTGAAGAGACATAATGAAATTCTCATGATTTTCATAAAAGTGGTTATTTTTAACTAAATTAAAATATTTTAGGTGATAATTAGAAAACTGAATCGCCTTCAAGAGGAAAACAATATTTTACTGAACACACTTCCAAGGAAAAAGCAGGGAAAATCCTTAAAAACTAATAGGCAGCATTAAAGGTGTGGGAAACTCATTTGATCAATGCATTTGCAGTGGTCTCTGGTAGGAATGAATACCTTGCAAGCTGTACTCGAGGAGAAAAAAGGCCAAAAAACACGTTTCAGCAAGGAAAGTCTGCTATATCAGAACTGAGCTTCAGACGGCAGGATTTGGAGTCTTACTTCCTGATATTTGGACCTCTCACCTCTGATTGGATAACAGCAACGCAACTCTATCACTGACTCTGTTTGCTCTGTGACATGGATGTTATATCTTCACAAACAACACAAGCTTGGAGGAATTCTGCAGTGTGATTGAGTTGCTAATGCTAACAGTTAGCTCCTGCTAGCTGAGGCGTTTTCTGTTGTTTCCTGGATGCTAAAACAACAACAGCCTTCCAAATGAGTGAGTCCAAGCGACTTCTCAACGTAGATCTGTCAAGCTTTTCCAATCCTAGAGTTTGACCGTCTACTTTCTATCAGAAGCTAATGCAGGAGATAGGTGTAAGAGACTATTTTCATGTTCAGCCTGCATGAAAACTGATTATAAATCAGAAATAATCATAAGAAAGTGTTTTCAGTGAACCACACCTTTAAATTCCTTATGTTTTTTCTTATATATCACACAAAGGTGTATGTTTGCTTACTAGCTCTTGCATCACATGGCAAAAAGCTCACTAAAAGCCACAGAGAATTGCCCAGTTTAAAGAAAAATCAATTCCAAATCCTGAAAAAGATGTCTCATACAAGAATGCACCCACACCTGCCTACAAACTGCTAAATTATAGGTATGATGCTGCATTCAGCAGAAGAGAAAATGTTTCACAGGCCGACTGGGTACCGCAGATTTACTCTCTGAAAGTAAAAACAAAAGATCAGAGCTGTGTTCGCACACTGATGTTAGCGAGGACACGCCCGCATCGTCTGCATAGAGTCGACTGCTGAAGAATGCCAACTATGCCGTTCACCCCATCTTTAAAAAATGTATTTTAAGGATGCGCCAAATATAATCGGAGGCTGAATACCCAAAGATTCTAAGAATCTTTATTTATTTCTGGTTAGAGCCTAGTCTGGTTTCTGACTTATGTTGCATTTAAACCAAACAATACGGACACCCCCCTTACTCCACCCCTCCTCCTTAAATAAAGTCCCCTTGACCTAAATTCCTCCACAGCAGGATGGATGGGGTTCCACCCCCTTCCCAAGGCAGACACACAAATACAAAAACACAATAGCCCCCACAGCCTTGCCTGGCCTCTGAAAATGGGGGGGGGGGGGGGGTCTCCACAGCTCAGAGGTGGTTTGTAATTTGGTTATTTTCCTAAACTAGCACATAAAATCCTCACATCCTAGCCCTCAACCAGCCAGTCAAAGCTCATAAATTACACGACTCAGCATTTTAGTGCTCACACCTCTGGGCTGCTTTCATCCAAAGCTCACTGGAGTCATTAGGATGAGTTTGTGGGAGGGTGGGAGTGGTCAGACTGTAAGCGAATCAGCCGAGCCACATCGCTGTGTACCCACTCGCTCCATAAAACAGGAACCATGCTGATTTAACAGACTACCGGCATCTCCTCCATCTTTTTGATCTCTCCTTCGCGTCCAGCCGCTGGAGCTGATTAGAGAAGAAGTGAAGATGTGGAGGAGTCTAAAAAGTGGGATGAGGGGAGCTGGGTGGGGTGGATGGGGGCAGTTTAGAGGGTGTCACATAGCTCTGACATACTCTCATAAGTGGAATACTTCTCTCTGCTGGAGACAGGCTTGTGTGTGAGAGCGCAGTGAGACACGGCCCTCCCATTGAATATCTGAGCTGCCACCAAAAAAATGATTATTGTAAATCTACGGCGGTCTGCATCCAGGAGGTCAGATGGTGTTTCTGTTGTGGCTGACTGAGTTTAAGGGTACAGACAAGGGTGGTGGGGGGTATAAGGGGGCAGATGGGAGACTGCATTCTTTTAGCAAACTGAATGCAAACCTTTTAATGCAAATCCGAGCTGATTACCATTGCCTGGAAGCTTTAAAACAAAAGAATTCAGTTAAAAAATCAGGGCCCCAATCACCCTCCCCCCCAACGGAGACCAAATCCCCCCCCCCCCTCATCTCAAAGGTGTGGTCAAAGCATCTTCAGATGTGTTTGTGAAACCTTTGCTCTCAAGCAACCATCTTAAATCTGAAGAGAATCAAATTTGGAATGCAATTAATTCCTCACACCTCCTCGCTGGTTAAATATTCCCACTGGAACATTTAGGATCCCACTTCTGATGAAACACCTCACATGACAGGATAAAAGTTAAATCAGGACAGGTGGCATCTTTAGGGATACTGTTCCTAATATGAAAAAGTTTGAAAGCTGCTTAAGATTAATAAATAAATACTTTTTTCTGAGCCAAACGTTGTATTTACTCGTTTAATTGACCAAGTTCTCTGTTAAAAACAGGGAAAAAAAGCATTTTACACAAAACAAAACCATCCTCACACACTTGGATGTCCAGGAACCACAAATGTTAGCTAACCACACCCGCAGCACAACAATGCCTGTGGCACTTTCACGAGTGAGTGCACACACAGCTGTGTGATGTTTAGGATATTTCTCATGATAAACATCTCATCTTATTCTCTTACCTGTTAACGTGATTGTTCCAAGCATTGGAAGAAGTCCAACAATCTTATCAAGAAAACAAATAAAGGAATTTCTGTATTTAAGCAGCTAGACGTGTCAACTTCAGGACTGCTTCCTCACTCCAAACCTCCGTCTGATGCGTGACTTGTCTTCCCTCACACTCCCTCACTCTCCTCGGTCAGTCGGCAGAATGAACTGGAAACAGAGCTCCACACACATTTCAACTAACTGACACGCATGTCATGTTGGGGCCACCCCTGCCTCCCTTTTCCTCCCACCTCCCCTGCTTTTCTTCAGCTGTTCTGAATGAACACCTCCCCCATCCCCATCCCCATCCCCCCTTCCCCTCCTCCCCTCTCTGATCACACTCCCTCATGAAGAGCTCCTCATCCACTGATGGCTGGATACCATCATGAGACCTTTTAGATCCACTCTACAGCAAAATGCTCAAAATTCCCCATATTTAAAGTCCACATGGAGACATTTCCATAAACATTCCTAAAGGAGATGATTTGTAGAATCTCATTTGGGATAGTCTTCCTTCTCCCAGCGGGAAGGCTGATGGAGGTGACTTCCAGATTTTACATGGACACCAAGATCTCAACGCTGTCAAAGATGAATGCAAAACATCTCATTTTAACCTCAGTTTCATCAAAGTTATGATTCCCAAGTCTTAGTAAGCCTCCCATGCATTTGGGAGGGGAGAGAGACGGAATGCAGATAATTCCTCAGGTAAATACAAGCATAATCAGACCTGTCACACTTCCGCATTGTCCTGCAGGAATGTGTAAATTCTGCTGAGAAAGATACCAAACAGGTGATGAAAGCAGCGGCTGAGTATCGTCTGAAAACAGCTCCCATCTCTCTCTCTCTCTCTCTCTCCCTCTCTCTCTCTCTCTCTCTCTCTCTCTCTCTCTCTCTCTCTCTCTCTCTCTCTCTCACTCACTCACTCACAAAAAAAAGAGTGAGATTTAAGACGGGAGTGGGGGGGGGGGTGTTTTCATCCACCTTTCCTGACGTAAAAAAGAGATGATTGAGCGAACGCTCCCACTGCAGAGACAAATCCGTGATTTTTGTCGGTGGTCATGTGCATCGTGTTAGGTGTGTTTATCCGTTAAATCTGACCAAAGCGAGGTGAAAAAAAAAGATGGTGTTTTGATGCTCGCATTCTGATTCGAGGGGAAGAAGCTCAAAATCTAATAAGGGATTTTATTTGGAAAAAGTTTTAGTGGATAACAAAATTATTGTTTATAACATTACTCATAAGGACTGGAATCCAGTCTTAGCAACTGGGTCACATGTTCTGGGTCATTGGAATATCATTTTATTCCAGCCGGGCATCAACAAATCTGAGCAAATTTTGTGTGAAAACTCGCGTTTAAGTCATGAAAGATCTGAGTGATCCAGCCCTGTTTTCAGGCGTGAGTGAGACTTCCCATCAACGCGGTGACTCATCTGATCGGTATTCTACTATCTGCCCTGTGCTGCATAACGGCCCTTACAGCTTATTATGCTGAGTGGACAGTGAGTCAGGCTGAGGAGATTTATGATTTCCACTGGGGTCTGCCCACATCTTCCTTTTCTCTTCAAACTTCCGTGACTCAGTCACAATTCCTGGACTTCCAAACGTACTGACAGGTCAAGGGTTCACACAACTTACACTTGATTTTATTTTGAAAATAAAGCGGTTTTGTGGTTGTTTTACAATCAAAAATTTGAAAATCAGCATCCTCTTAACTGGTTGAGGAGACCAAGTATGTTTCCAAGCTTGTTTTCAGGTTAAGTGACACAAATAAGAAGCTCTCACGTCATCTATTCTGCAATAAAGTTTGGTGAAGAACCCAGAACGGAGTTGTCGTGGGTGATGCCCCGCATATCTTTGTAGATCTGAAAACGCGCCGGAGTTCAGGAATGTTTGAGGTGGGGTCTTGAGTGGTCAGGCAGAATGGGGGGAGGCTTTAGTGTTCTGGGTGGAGGGTCTCTATTGTGGAGGCTGAATGACATCACTGGACAGAACAGTGAAGAACTGAACAAAACAACGCTGGAAAGACAGGAGGAAGCTGGAAGAAGGTTGAAGAGAGTGTGAAAGCGCCTCAGATCAAAGAGTTTTACACCGTCGTGTATTTATTTACCGAATCGCCACTTGAACCC